GTCATGCCGGACACGCAACCCCCACAACGTGGTGGGGGACGTGGGGATCCTTAGCAGCTTAGGCCTGCCACTCTGATTCAATCTCAAGAGATGTGAATTGGGAAATCGTAACGGCCTTTCAGAATGCAGTCCTTGGATGGGAGGACTAGAGCAAGGGGGGAAGGCCTGGGAAGAAAGTGCCGAGTTGTCATTTTTGCTCTGCTCTCACAGCGAGCACTCGCACTGCGTTCACGTGTGTGGACGTGCCGAGGCGTTGGTGGACCTCGGAACCTCAGCCACACACGCTGCCCGACTTGCTGCCGCCCTGAGTCCTAGCAGCCTGCAGTAGCCGCCGCTGCACCTCGAGCTATGAGCGGCGCTCGGACTGCTGCCGCACCTCAAGCTATGAGCGGCTCCCGGCAGCGCCAGCCGGCGGGGCTCGACTCTCTGCCGTCCGACCTGCTCCAGCGCGTCGCCCAGCTAGGCTTCCTGTCCCAAGTCAGCCCCTTCTGGGACCGCGGTGACCTGCTGCAGCAGGCAGCCAGCCTCGCCTGCGTAGGAAACGCTTCCTTCTCGGAGTTGGCGCGCATCCTGTTTGCCGGCCCGTCGCCGCGTCTGGGTGAGCGGACTCTCCTGAGGGAACCTGCCTGACCTTTTGCATGTGGCAGCAGTGCATCCTCTTCTGCCACCTGACGAGAAGAGAGAGCCACATGGAGAGGAGAGAGCCCGCATCTCCTGCGGCCGCCTGCCATCTGCAGGTGCCGAGAAGCCCAGAGGCGTGAGCAAGACGAGCCCCATACCGGCGCTCAAGGCTGCTCTAGGTAAAAGGTAAAGGTAAAGGTGGGGAAGAGCCTCCACAAGCTTAACTTCCCGGTTTTAACGTCTAGCTTTAGACCATTATTTGATCTGCCCGACGCGCCAAGTGCAGTACCCCCCACTAGTAGTGAATGGGTCCCGGGGAGGCCTGTGCCGAAGCCTTGGCGATTCTATTAGGCGTTCCCGAAGGAATTGGCTTGGATTGGCGCTGAGCCGGTCAGCTTGCTTGTTGCTTGTGTGGGCTTAAAGTCTGGTAAAGCAAGAACTAGCTTGCAACATAGACTCCCCGCCGAAACGGGATGGGAACCGGGCGAAAGCAGAGAAAGCAATAAATCAGGGGTGGAGCAAGGCGACATGCAACGCAAGCAGCTGACAGGGCACGCATCGAAACGTGTGTATGACTGGCAAAGTGGCATGGCGCATTGGGGAGAAACGCAACGGTACGGGAGCATGGGCTGGCCAAACGGCAGTGCGGAACGCTAGGTCACTAGAAAAGCAGGGAAAGGCGCACTATGTATGCAATGAGGGCAGCCCCGGCTCGGGGCCGTTGAGAAAGCAGTGGGCGGGAGGGGGGAGGCCCCGGTGTGGGCGGGCCCCATCGAGGGGGGATGGGGCGCGCAAGCGGCCAGATGGGGCGGGGCGCGGGCGGCAGTGGAGTCCTGCGGCTGGGTGGGATATAGGGCAATGAGCGTTGAGCAGTGTGCGATGAGCAATGAGCAATGAGCAGTGAGCAGCCCCTCCCTAAACAAAGTGAAGCGCAGGACGGGGTCCGGTGGATGGGAGGCAAGGAAACGCGGGGGGTTGCCACGTGCGCTACCGCCGCCGCCGCAGGCAGCACCCCTGCGGCGGCGGCAGCGGCAGCAAGCCGTGGACCCAAACGCCGTGCCGCCGCCGCCGCAGGCAGCACCCCTGCGACGGCGGCGGCAGCAAGCCGTGGACCGAAACGCCGTGCCGCCGAGTCCCGTGGCTGTGGCCGTGGGCTTCTGGCAGGAAACTACGGCCGCAGCTCGGCAGCACGGGGGCGTCGCAGCGTGCCGCCGCCGCCGCGCTGCCCCCCGGGCACGGCGGCGCCGGCAGCAAGCTTGGGCCCAAACGCCGTGCCGCCGAGTCCCGTGGCTGCGGCCGTAGACCGTGGGCCGGAAACTGCGGCCGCAGCTCGGCGGCACGCGGTTCTGTTCAAGTCGCCAAGCGTGCAGCAGCGCCGAACCACGCTTCCCGGCCTCGGCGCATGCCTTCAGGGGCCCCCTATCGCTGGGCACACCCCTCCAACACCGAACATGCGCCCGGGGGGGAGGGCGGCCCGGGCTGCCCAGGCCAAAGTGGGCCGCCCTCGAGCAAGAGGCGGCCGGTCTGTGTGCTGAATGAATGAATGAATTGTACGGGTTGGAAAAGTTCAGGCTATGCCGCGATTGTCCTCACAAAGTTTCGACATGGGAGGAATCGAACCTGTGCCCTCTCGGAGGGTTTAGACACTAGCTCCAGCGCCTTCAAAGAAGGCCTTTCTTAGCCGCGGCCTGAAGGAGTGGGGGCTGCCCATCTCCGGCAGCAAGCCCGACCTGTGGGCTCGCCTTCAGGACCAGGTGGGCGGCTGCACCGGTGTGGCAGTTGCGCATGCACGCGAAGCTTTCGACCCAAAGCTGAGCCGGGTCCAGGGCGACCGCTGCCATCTCAGGTGGAGGACAGCGAGGTGGGCGAGGACGGCAGCCCTCTGAAGCACTGCCTCGTGTCAGGGGCCACTCGGTACGAGCTGGAGGGCTACAGCGGCGGGCGGGTGTCCCAGAGCAAGGCCATGACCCTGTTCGGCCTCTCCTGCCCGCGGCTAAGAAAGGCCTTCTTTGAAGGCGCTGGAGCTAGTGTCTAAACCCTCCGAGAGGGCACCGGTTCGATTCCTCCCATGTCGAAACTTTGTGAGGACAAACGCGGCATAGCTGACCGGCTCAGCGCCAATCCAAGCCAATTCCTTCGGGAACGCCTTATAGAATCGCTAAGGTTTCGGCACAGGCCTCCCCGGGACCCATTCACTACTAGTGGGGGGTACTGCACTTGGCGCGTCAGGCAGATCAAATAATGGTCTAAAGCTAGACGTTAAAACCGGGAAGTTAAGCCTGTGGAGGCTCTTCCCCACCTTTACCTTTACCTTTACCAAGCACCACCTCTCCCAGCTGAGCTACAAGTGAGGCTGGGGAAGGATGCGTGTGACTCTGGTGGCTAGCAAGCTAGGGGCTGCTCAGGTTACATCAGCAGTGCTTTCGAGCCAAAGGCACCCTGCCTACCACACCCGGTCCCTCGTCGTGTGCAGCATGAACACCAGCGGCGGCGCCACCTCAACCAAGCTCTTCCTTCTGTTTGATGTGAAGCAGCTGGCGCGCAAGATTCACGGCAGCTGGGAGCAGCTGGCCAAGCAGCGCTCGGACACCAAAGAGCTTTACGACAGGAACAGGGAGGTATGGCAGCTTGTGTGGGCTTAAAGTCTGGTAAAGCAAGAACTAGCTTGCAACATAGACTCCCCGCCGAAACGGGATGGGAACCGGGCGAAAGCAGAGAAAGCAATAAATCAGGGGTGGAGCAAGGCGACATGCAACGCAAGCAGCTGACAGGGCACGCATCGAAACGTGTGTATGACTGGCAAAGTGGCATGGCGCATTGGGGAGAAACGCAACGGTACGGGAGCATGGGCTGGCCAAACGGCAGTGCGGAACGCTAGGTCACTAGAAAAGCAGGGAAAGGCGCACTATGTATGCAATGAGGGCAGCCCCGGCTCGGGGCCGTTGAGAAAGCAGTGGGCGGGAGGGGGGAGGCCCCGGTGTGGGCGGGCCCCATCGAGGGGGGATGGGGCGCGCAAGCGGCCAGATGGAGCAGGGCGCGGGCGGCAGTAGAGTCCTGCGGCTGGGTGGGATATAGGGCAATGAGCGTTGAGCAGTGTGCGATGAGCAATGAGCAATGAGCAGTGAGCAGCCCCTCCCTAAACAAAGTGAAGCGCAGAACGGGGTCCGGTGGATGGGAGGCAAGGAAACGCGGGGGGTTGCCACGTGCGCTACCGCCGCCGCCGCAGGCAGCACCCCTGCGGCGGCGGCAGCGGCAGCAAGCCGTGGACCCAAACGCCGTGCCGCCGCCGCCGCAGGCAGCACCCCTGCGACGGCGGCGGCAGCAAGCCGTGGACCGAAACGCCGTGCCGCCGAGTCCCGTGGCTGTGGCCGTGGGCTTCTGGCAGGAAACTACGGCCGCAGCTCGGCAGCACGGGGGCGTCGCAGCGTGCTGCCGCCGACGCCGCGCTGCCCCCCGGGCACGGCGGCGGCGGCAGCAAGCTTGGGCCCAAACGCCGTGCCGCCGAGTCCCGTGGCTGCGACCGTAGACCGTGGGCCGGAAACTGCGGCCGCAGCTCGGCGGCACGTGGTTCTGTTCAAATCGCCAAGCGTGCAGCAGCGCCGAACCACGCTTCCCGGCCTCGGCGCATGCCTTCAGGGGCCCCCTATCGCTGGGCACACCCCTCCAACACCGAACATGCGCCCGGGGGGGAGGGCGGCCCGGGCTGCCCAGGCCAAAGTGGGCCGCCCTCGAGCAAGAGGCGGCCGGTCTGTGTGCTGAATGAATGAATGAAATGGGTATGAAGTGAAACTGGTTTTTTAGGGCAGGCAGGACCCTCATCCGCAGATGCCGCGACGGCTGCTTGGCACGGGCTGGAGGAGGAGGAGGATTGGGAGTAGCGGCTGCCAGAGAGGGGCACCCTGGGGAGCACAGGCTGATGGATTGCTGTGCACGGCATGTTACTAGGCTGCACGGTTTTGCCAGCAACAACCCAACTCCATGCATTTGACAGTCCTCTGCAGATTGAAACCGAGGTACCAGCTGGCCGCGCCTGGCGCTAGGCCATCACTGCTTCTTACATTGGCATGGCGTCAACGCCTCAAGCTTGCAAAGTTGTGAGCTGTGAGGGCAGCATCAGAGCGTAAGGCAGCATCAGGGCAGGCCTCACAAGCCTGCTGTGCCACTCGGCGAGGAGGCGGCCGCCAGGTCACCCAGCACGCCCAGCAGGCGGCTGACGTAATGGTCAGAGGTGGCGTGGCGCGACACCCGGATGCCCCACTGCGCAACCTCGCCGCCGCCCATCCAGCCTGCCCGCCAGCCCTGGCAAGGTCGGTCGTCAGCAGCGCTGCTGGCGGAGCTGCTGCCGTTGCCGCTGTCGGCGAGGCCGCTTGCCTCGGCAGCGCCCGCCACAGCCGGCAGCCGGGATAGCAGCAGCACGCGACCTGGCAGGCTGCCTGCCTGCTGCTGCTCCTGCTCCTGCTGCCAGTCTCGGTACCTGCAGCAGGGGACAGCCGCCGGCAGGATGCTGCGCCATTCATCAGCTAGCCTGATCCCCTTGTTGCCTGCTACTGCTTGTTGCCTGCTACTGCTGCAATCAACAGACCCAAATCATCCTGCTCGCAACCTGAAGCCGCCAAGCCCACCTCTGCAGGAAGGCAAGAGCCTCGGGCGGCACCTCGCTCAGCGGCCGTAGCGCCCGCCTGGGGTTCACCCATCGGCGGTGCCAGCGCTTGGGGCCCAGCACCTCGCCGATTAACGCCACAAGCAGGCCAGTTTTGGAGTACCTGCAAGGAACCCAGGGAGGTGCACGGCCTTGCAGGCGTTTCATGTACCTGGCAGGCCGTGCCCGCTCCTGGGCAGTAGGGCAAAGGCGCAATCACATCTGGGGCAGCGGCAGGCGGATCAGGCGCGCACCTGAGGCGGGCCAGTCCCACAATCGCCTGCTCCACCAGCGCGCGCACGGCTGCTGAGCTGGCACGAGGCGCCAGGTCGTCGCCCACCAGCACCGCCGTCAGCGAGCAGGCCGAGCCCAGCGCTGCAGCCAGGTCGCCGCTGCACAGCTCGCCGGGTGGGCAGTAGGCCCACACCGACAGCGGGCCTGCGAAGGGGGCGTGGAGTGAGTGGTGGATGGCGGCCCAGGCCTGGCACAGGGTGCGAAGTTTGGCTGTTGAGGCATTGACATGTCCCAAGAAAGCTGTGCTTCTGTGCTTCCCCCAGCCGCAGCCGCAGGAGCTCACCCAGCTGCCAGGCCTGCAGCCTGATTGCCAACAGAGCCGCCACGCCGGCGCCCAGGCCATGCCCCGACAGCACCAGCTGCCAGCCGCTGCAGTCCAGCCCCTGTACCAGGCTGCCGGCGCTAGCTGCACCAGGCCGGAGGAGCTGCTGCAGCAGCTGGCTGCGCTCCAGCTCTTCCAACAACACGGTCGCCGCCTTGAGGCTGTCTCTATGCACCCACCCGCAAACCGCCTGCTCCTTGCTGCAAGCAACGCCGCCGTTGCCGTCAGCTGTCGCCGATAACTTCTGTTGCCCCGCCTCGGCTGCTGCCGCACTGGTGCCATTTGAACCTGGCAGCCACTCCGTCGGCGCAGGCTCCACAACTGGTACAGGCGGCGGGCGCTGCCAGTCGCCTGCAATGCCCAGCACCACCGCCTGCTTCTCCCTGCAGGTGGACAGCCAGCCAGCAGCCCCACTCGTTCATGCCAAGTATACCAGAGTTGTCCACGCCAGCCCTGCTCTGGCCTGGGCGCCATGGTCAGCCGCGGTTGTTGCACTTGCCCGGTCGATTTGCCTTGCCTGTTTAGCGCCAGCAGGTGTGGGAGCAGGCCGCGCTTCTTGTGGCCAGAGCTGAAGGACACGATCTGGCAGCCGGCCCCCAGCAGCTCCCGCGCCGCCGCAAAGTCCCTGTGCTCTGCCTTGCTGGGCGCCCTGGCTCCGAGGCCACTGGCCGCCGCCGCCGCCGCCAGCCCTCCCCAGCCTGCAAGTGGCTGTGCGCCCTCGGCGCGTGCGGCTGCAGCCAGGCGACTCAGCTGCCGCTGCGTCGCGCAGCTGCCTTGCTTGCCGCGCCGCCACATGTGTTGGCGGGCCCCATAGGCGGCTGTAGCAAAGAGCGCCCATTGTAGCGCCTGCTGCACGTCTGCTGCCCCGGCAGGTCTGCCAGCTGCTGCTGGGCAGGCAGCTGCCGCCGCTCGGCACACCTCCTCTGCCCAAGCTAACAACTGTGAAGACCGCAGGCTGAGGTCGCCCTTGCCATCGCCTCCAGCTGCTGCGGCGGCTGGGGCAGCGGCCGCAGGTGCCCTGCTGTCTCCCTGCTCCTCCTGCCGCTGCACGCCTGCTCCTGCGGCTGCTGCCGCCTCATCCTGCAGCAGCTTGGCGCAAACCAGGCCAGCTGCCGCATCGGTCTTCTCCCCATCGATGCTGACCATCAGTCGCTGCAGCTGAGTCGCCATTTCCTCCAGCGCCGCCGGGGGACCCCTGCAGGCAACGCAGGCCGGACCAGGCGGCACTTCCATGTACCGATTCCATGCATCGATGCTTGGCACGCAAGGTACCAAATCCAGCCGCCACTCCGTCCAGCCCCACCTGTGCTCCTGCTTGTGGCTGCGGATGAGGTGGACCAGATTGCTGGTGCCTGTGCGGGTGAGAGCGTGCCAGACCACCCCTGCCTCCACATCACTCAGCTGGTTCCACGTGACCAGCACCCCCACGCTGCAGGCAGGCAGGCAGTGAGCAACGGGCAGGCATCAAGTGGGCAGGCTTTCAACAATTCTGGGTAGTGTCGGAAAGAGGCGCAAGGGGCTGGATGAGGATTGAGGCTGTTACCACTGCCTGCCATCTCCCATCCCCCCCACGCCTCGTCACTCACATTTGTCCCACCAGCACCCCGATCGCCCCAAAAACAATCGTGGCTGGCATGGACTTGTTGCCGCTGCTCCAGCAGGTCCCGTCGCCAGCCTCCACCACCCAGGCGCCCCATGCCAGCAGCCCAATATTGATTGGAACGGAGGCGAGGTACAAGTAGGTGAGGATCGTGACCCAGCGCCGCTTGGAGGGCTCCAACGGCGTACCTGCATGTCACACACGGGCATGTGGGCAGGGGAGAGTGCCACAGACCACACGCCGCCAGAGGGACTGGAGAAGCGGGACTGGAGAAGTGAGACTGCAGCGCGAGGTACCTCTGAATGTGACCAGAAAGGCGCCGCAGGTGATGGCAGCTTGCGTCAAGAAGAGCGCGAGCAGAGTGAACGTCACCGCCCATTGCTGCGGTGCCGACTGCGTGCCGGGCTTGCACGTCTGCGGCCGCGCGAAAGCAACTATGCCTATCCAATAGATGACTGCACAGGCATGCGATTGCGAACAGGATGGTCGGTCGGAAGCAGGCAGCAGGCGCCAGGTCGCAGCAATGGGCAAACGCACAGAGGAAGATGACTTGCACTAGCGCCACCATGAAGTAGAACAAGGTGCAATCGGTGGACAGCTGGCGCAGCTTGCACCCAAACAGCGTGGTGGCCGGCATGGTGCAGGCTCAGCGCTCCTACAGCAAGCTGTGGCGCAACCGCCAATGGCCACCGCCACCGCCCGCCGTCAGTTGTTGCGGGCAGTCCCCAGCTGCATCACCAAAGAGATGAATTGACGTTTGAAGATAATTGGTTCATTCCTTGGCGTTAGAGCGACAGCAGCACTGTGAACGGCAAAATGCGGGAGTTGAGCTCGGCCGATGGCGGCGGGCAGAACTCCCGCCTCGCAGCAGGCGTGGGAGCAGCTACGAAAAATCAAGCACGGCTGCGGACTGCCACACCGCACTTGAGCAGCGAAAGTCGTCGCTCACTCTTTGCTCCACTTTGGAGACCGTCAGCTGATTGGATGGAGCACAAGAATGAGAGCGCAGAACAAAGGCAGCTGATGCTGATCCCTCCATAGTCCAAGCTGCGCACCTCACCGCCTGCTGCGCTGCCGCCCTCCATGCCAATGCAAATGCTGCCCCCAACCCGGTGCTGGTTGGTCATGACATGGTTTTGAACATGGGTACAAGACACCTGGTAGGGAGAAGCGCTGTGCTGTGCAGCTGAAGGACGAGCAAGCGGAACAACAACGAGCGGCAGATCAAAGAAGGACAAGATTCATTGCTTCACAGCAAGCCAGCCATGGCTGGCTTGCTGTGAAGGGCGTCGCTAGTCTGAAAGCTCCTCGCCCTGTTCCAGCAGGGCGGCCGCCTCGGCAGCTGCAGCCCCCCAGTAGGCGGGATCCATCCGCTCATCATCGCTGTCAGACAGTGCTGCCGCCAGCGGTTGCCGTGGTGGCTCGGAATCGTCGGCAGCAGCGGCAGCCTTGGGCTTGGGCGGCCTGCCGCGACGCTTGGGGGCCGCGGTCGCCCCATTCTGCTCCTGCGCCTGTGGCGCAGCCTGCTGCGGCTGCTCCTGCTTGGCTTTGGGAGGCCTGCCTCGCCGCTTCTTGGCCGGTGGCTCTGCTGCTGTGCCGTCGCCTCCTCTCTCTGCAACGGCCGAGGTGGGCGTGGGCTGCGGCTCCTGCTGCTTGGCCTTGGGAGGCCGCCCGCGGCGCTTTTTGCCTGACGGCGCTGCAGCTGCTGCTTCTGCTGACGCCACGCCAAGCTCGCTTGCACCGTTTGCCATGGTGGTAACGTTTGATGCTGCCGGCTGCTGCTCTGCCTTACTGGACGTCATACCACGTGTCTTCTGGCCCCCTGCCTGCTGGGAAGCAGCTGGCCCGTTTGCTGCCTCTGGTGCTGCGGCTGCTGCGGCAGCAGGAGCAGAAAGCCCCTGGTCTCCAGGCGCATCCTGGCCCCCCTCCTCTGCTGCCGCCTGGCGATCTGGTGCTGCCGCTGCCGGCACCGGGCCACCAGCTGCTGGCGCGGTCCCGGCTGCAGCGGCCTGGCCCCGCGTCGGTTCGTCAGCGTCATAATCCTCCTCCTCTGCCTGCTGGATCAGCGCCAGCCCCTCAGCCTGGTTGCGCTGCAGCTCCCGAATCTCAGCGTCCTGCTCGTCCTGCCCCGCTGCTGTCGCTGCCGCCGCAGCTGCCGCTGTCGCAGGCCGAGCTCGCTTGGCGCCCCTGGCGCCCCTGCCTGCTGCTGGAGGCGCGGCGCTCCCCTCCTGTTCAGCTGCCCCAGCTCTGCTGGCAGCATGCCGCTTCTGGCCCCTGGCAGCGGCGGGCTTGCGCTGCTTGCCGGTGGCGGTGGCGGCGGCAGCGCTACCAACCTGTTGCTCCGCCTCTTGCTCCCCTTCCTGCTGCTGTTGCTGCTTTGACTTACGTGGCTTGGCTGCCGCCTTCTTGGGTGAGGCCTTGGCAGCCTGCTTCTTGCCATTAGCAGCAGCCATACTCGCTGCTGGCGGCTTGGCTGCCGCTGTGGCGCCTGCCTTGGCGCCTGCACCCTCCTTTCTCCCGTGGACTGCGCCGTTGGCTGCCGCCATGCCACGCGCCACCGCCGCAGGCTGCTGCACCGTCGCCTCTGTGGCCTCGGTCGCCGCTGACACGCCAATGCTGCCGCCCTCCTGCTGCTGCTGCCTCTCCCTAGCAGCGCCGCCGTGCCCCGCCTCCTCCTCGCCATCCCCCTCGTCGTCGTCGTCGTCGGTGGCAGCGAGCGCGGTGGTGGCGGCGCCCGGCTGGCTCCTGCCAAAGGCGGCGGGGGCTGTGGCCTCCCAGTCGTGCATGTCAGGCAGGTCTGGCATGTCAGAGTCCTCATCCGCGCCGCCGCCGCCGCCATCCTCCAGCTCAGCGGGCGCCGAAGCGGCGGGCAGACCCGCATGCTGACGCCACGCGTCTTGCCTGCAGGCGTGGGCATGGGGCAGCACAGGCCAGGCATGGTGCCCCGGGGCATGGGGGGGCCCGGCGGCAGGGGAGCCGCAGGCGAGAACGCCACATGCAGTAAGCGGTGCAGCGGAGGCGCGAGTGTGGGTGGCGGCAGCAGCCCCACCTGCGCCGGATATCCTGCTCCCGCTGCTGCTCCCGCCGCTGCACTTGGGTGATGATGCCACGGAAGCCGGTGGCTGCCCCCGCCGCCTCGTCCCCGCCCGCCGCCGCCGCCGCCGCCGCCTGCCGCAGCCCCCGCTCCCGCTGCTGCTTCTTCATGCGCTGCTTCTTGAAGTCTGCAGCGGTGCTAAAGGCGCCGGCGGTGTGCTGGGTGGCGGTGGCGGCGCTGGGCGCAGCGGCGGCGCCATCCAGCACCGGCTGCTCCCGCTCCCCGCCGCCAGGCTGCCGCGCCTGCCGCGCCAGCTGCCGCTGCTCCTGCTCCGCCTTGAACCGGTGCCGCGCCTGCCCGCGCCGCCGCGTGGCCGCCTGCGCCAGCTGGGCGCGCGTCGCGGCCGCCGCCTGCGCCAGCAGCCGCGCCGTGCCCCTGCGCCCGTGCTCCAGCAGCAGCTGCAGCTGCGCGTGCTTGCGCTCGGTGAACTCATGCAGCATGGTGCCCAGCCGCAGGTCGGCTATGCTCTCGGGGTGCTGCGGCTGCGCGGCGCGGCTCGAGGGGCCCGCGCCGGCAGACACGACAGCCGCGGGCGACACCTTGCGCCACATCGCGGCCAGCGAGTCCTGCAGGGCCAGCAGCACCACAACCAGCGCTGCCTAGTTAGCCGCATCCCTGCTGCATCCCTGCTGTGTGCCCTTTGAACCCTACCTTCTGCACCGGAGTGTACTCCTTCCTTACGATGTGCCTTTCACTCGCCCCACTCACATGCTCAGGCCGCCTTCCCCGCCGCCCCAATCAGCCTGGCCCCAGCCCTCAACCAGGCCCAGCTCCCAGCCCACCCCCACCTGGTAGCCGCCGCACAGCTGCGCCAGATTGGCGGTACCAAGGCCCCGCAGGGTACTGCTGAGCTGGTACTTCACTTCCCGCGCCACCGCCAGCTCCTCACCCCGCAGCCCTGCACAGCCCAGGCAGCCACATGGGCGGGTGCCACAACTCTTCAGCCATTCAAGCAAATCTTTTGAAAAGGGGCAGGCAAGGCCAGGCTATACGGGCCTGACAGCAGCAGGAGCTGGCACCTGATGGGCAGCACTGCAGCAACCCGTGTCCTACACACACACGCGCGCACCGTGGAACAGGCCCGGCACAGGCATCAGGCGCTCCGCGCCGCCTGCCGCCTCCGCCGGCAGCGCCACCACTCGGCGGCTGGCGCCCAGCACCAGGGCACCAGCGGCTCGCAGCTGGCGCAGCGCAGCCAGCGCGTCGGGGCAGCTACGTGCCAGCTGCGGCACCAACCCTGCGCAGCAGAGGCAGGCCGGGGGCAGGAGGTGCTGGCTGCAGCGCGAGCAGAAGGCAGGGCAGCGTGGCAGCAGAATGCAAACATCGGGCGGATCCTGATGCCAGTCCCAGCAGCCTGGCCGCTCACCCAGCAGGGCCTGCTGGTGCTCCGCGCTAAGGTAAATCTTCACTCGCCCGCCGCCGCCGCCCACGCCGCTGGGCTGGCCGCCGCCGCCGCCGCCGCCGCCGCCTTCAAGGGCAGCAGTGTCGGGGCCGGGCCCTGCAGCGCCTGCCTCGCCCACGCTGCGTAGGCCGGGGGACGGCATGGGCGGGTGCGCGGCGTGCAGGCAGAAGAGCGCCAGCAGCGCCGCCGCCTGCAGCTCCAGGCTGTGCCCCCGCAGCTGCTCCAGCTGCTCGTCTGTGGGCAGCGGCAGCAGTACGGGCTGCTGGGCTGCCTGCGGCTGTGGCCCCGGGGCGGGCTGAGGCAGCAGGAAGGGGATGGGTGCTCCAGGCGCCGGCCAGGCAAACCCAGGCGCCCAGGGCACCACCCACCCGGCACCTGCTGCCGACCCTCCTGCTACTGCTGCTGCTGCTGGTAGCAGCGGCCCGCTGGCCAGCAGCGGCGCATGGCCAAAGCCAGTGCCAGGCCTGCCTGCTGCCAACACCGCCGCCGCCGCCACAGGTGCCTGCTGGTCGGGGTCAGGCTCTGCCAGCATGTGCTGGGGCCCTGTGCCTGGCTGCTGCTCCGATTGTAGCGGCGGCGGCGGACCCTCGTGCTGCTGCTGCTGCTGCTGCTGGCTGATGCCGGCGCCGAGGTCAAGCTCGAGCGGCGGCAGCCCTTGCCCCGCATGCTCCTGCTCGTGATGCTGCTCCTGCTGCCTCCCCGGCTGCCCCTCCTCAAAATCAAGCATCACACTCTCCAAATCAACCTCCTCCGCCACCGCTCCTGCCACAGACAGCGGCGGTGAGGCCATGCTGCCTGGTCCGGTCGCCGCTGGCAAGCTCTGCACCGGCGCAGCGGGCGCCGCCGCTGCTGATGCTGGCAGCAGCGCGGCCAGCTGTGTGGTGGAGCCCGCTGTTGCCATGAGCGGTACCATCTGCGGCGGTGGCAGCAGCGCCTGAAGCTCAGTTGAAGAGCCTGGTAGGGGCGGCACAAAGCCAGGTGCTACCGCTGCTGTCCCTGCTGGTAGGGCGGCCACTTGCTCTGCAGATGCGGGTCCCGCCACTGCTGCTGCATCTGCCAGGATCGGCGTCGGCACTGCTGCAGCAGCAGGGGCAACAGCCGAGAGTGGCGCTGGACCCGGGGCCGAGCCCGGGCCCAGCGCCGCTGTGCCAAAGAGGTCTGTCGCTGCCTCGCAGTCGGCTGGCGGACGCGCCCCACCGCCGTCGTCGCCTGGGAACAGGGGCAGGGCTGCTGCGAGTGCCGCCGTGGCTGCCTCCTCCTCCCCCTCCTCCTGGTGCTCCTCTAAGTCCTGCAGCAGCATCTCCCTGAGGTGAGCCTGCTGCCGCTCTGCCTCCTCGCACTGCTGCCGCTCCACCTCGGCCGCCGCCGCCGCCGCGTCCTCGTGCTGCTTGCGCAGCGGCTGCAGCGCGCGGGTGACTGCGGAGGAGGCGATGGGAGCCAGCAGGCGCTCCAGCGCTGCGGCGTACAGCAGCTGCACATGCTGATCCACTGTGGTGGCGGGGCGGTGCGCCTGCAGGCAGATGTGGCGGCGGCACGGGCGGGGATCACGACTTGTGACCGCGACATGCACTGCTGTCAACAATCAGCTGCAGCCTAGCTAGCTCTGCAGCTCACACAGTTGAGCTGTGAGAGGGAGAAGGGGCACGCAATCGGGAGGGCCGGGGAGCAGGGAGCAGGGCAGGCAGGCCCTCCTCAAGGCGGCACCCACCTCAAAGACGTGAGAGAAGGAGAGCTCGCGCCAGGCGGCCTTCACAGTCTCCAGGGTCAGCGGCTGACCCTCGGTCACGCGCAGCAGCACCCGCACCAGCAGCGAGCAGATGTCCTGCTGCTGCGGTGCGCGGGGCGGCTTGGCCTGCTTGCCGCCGCCGCCGCCGCCGCCGCCTCCCTGCACCAGCTCCGCCAGCGGCATGGCCGCACGCTGGTGTCCACCTCTACACCCTGCGGCGTTGTTTAGCGCGTGTCATGCAGTCCCACAGGTGCCTGCGCCAACTTTGGAACTTGGCACAGCCGTGGCAGCGCTGCGACGTCACAGCACTGCGTGTGTGTGCGGGTTAAAGCAGATGACGAACGCCCCAAGTTAGCGGCAACAAAGGTTGTCGTCACTCTGCCTTCGGCAGGGCAGCAGCCTCCTGAAGAGATCAGGCAGACTTGTCAGGGTAGAAGAACAAGCATGCAGCGTGGGAGACTTTGGAAGGGATGCGGCGACAAGGTGCATGCTATGGCATGGCTGCTGCGGCGGCGGCAGGGCCCCCCAAGCCTGCACAGCCTATGCCAATAATCCCTAGGCCGACCTTTGTAGCATACCAGCCCCGACTAGTTTACACACTTTACAACAAGATTGGTACATGCATGGACGCCATACAGCTGAACTGCGACGTCATTTTGGTGACGTAGCTTTCTTTTTTGAACTGCAATGTCTTTTCAGCCCGCAAACGCCGGCACCTTGTCCAGGTCTTCCGCCGACACGCGGATCACCTCATCCCGCTGCTGGCCGGTGGCGATGCCCGCCAGCAGGGCGCCCACCTTGCTGGCGGGCGCCGCGGGGACGCCGGGGAAGGCCTCGTTCTGTGCTTCGCTGTCGCGGCGAATGATGGATGCGATCCGCAGCTGCACTTGGACAGATGACGCCCGCGCCACGGGCAACAGCACATCAGCAGGCTGATGGGCAGAAGGTTAACAGGCACAAGCGCGCCTGTTCGGTGTGCTCCCCTGCGCATGTGCCTGCGTTTCTGGCTCACCTCGTTCACACGGAGTGGCGAGTCCTTGCTCTCAAACTGCAGCACCTTGACAAGGCCGAACACTGCTGAGTTGGAGATGCAGGTGAGCGCAACTCCAGGCATCATGCACACCTCGCCTGCACGGCAGGCAGCAGGGCGATACAGGGGCTCCTCTCAGGCCTGGATAGCAAGGCTGGAGAGAGCTACGAAACGTGCAGCAATGAACAGCCATGCGCAGCCGTGTGCTGCTATACGTGCTCACCCAGCATTCCAGTGATGACAGTCCAGCTGCTGGTGGCCTGCTGGCGCATCAGTGGCAGCAGCGCCTGGGCCAGGAGCACATGCCCAACCACTTTGGTGGTCACTGCCTCTTGCACCAGGGCGGGCGTGATGTCGGCCACGTTTCCTGGCGGAGCCATGCCGCCTGAAACAGGCGAGAAGGGCCCGTGGCCACCGCCAGCGATGAGGCTCAGACCGCAACAGGGGCGTGCAGCATGTCGGGATGATGTCAACTGGCAGGGGCATCCAGGCAGTCGGCGGCGGCGCCAGCTAGACCGCCGGTTGATCACTCACCGGCGACCGACACCACATGGTCCAGCTGCAGCCCAGCCTCCTTCACAAACTTAGCCAGTTCTGCTGCGCCCGCCTCGGTGCTCCAGTCGGCCACAGGGGTGTGCAGCTTGTCGGTGGGTGCGGCCTCAAGGTGGTCGGTGAGCCTGCGCTTGGAGGCGGCCGACCGCAACGGCGCCACTACCCAGGCGCCCTCTTGAAGAAAGCGCTGGACGATGCCGCTGCCCACCGTGCCTGCAGCCAGGCAAGAGAGAAGCCTATTCGCTCTCTTCGGAAAACTCTCTGCCCGCTTCTGGAGGTACTTGCCAGTAGCTCCAGTAACAACTACTGCGGCCCCCTTCAACGCCATTGTGTGTGGCCGTCTTCGAGGAGTCGAGAAACGGACTGTGAGATGATGTTGCAGGGCATAAAAGAGATGCCGGGCGGCTCACGTCATCGCCCACATGCCTGGGCCACACTTGCCAGTACTACCCACATGTTGATGCCAGTCTGGCTCACAATCAGCACCCTACACTCTTGCCTTCCAATCCCTGCTCCGAGGAGCCATCAGCTCCATTCACAGCCGTGCCGCACCGCCACACTTGTACATTCAGCCGCGCCGCCACACTCCTACATTCAGCTGTTGCTGTGTTTACATTGAAAACGAAAAACCAGGTGAAGCCTACCGAGCATTAGCAAAAACTTCGGCCGGCTTGCTCTGCATGCCGCGTATTCGTTTTCCACCCGACAGCAACCCTGCCTCAAGCGAACTATCTGGGGCGGCATGGGGCAAGAGCCCCTGCCACACAATGCAGCAAGCCGCGGCAGAGCCGCGTCATCCATCCAAATCCCCCCAACGTGGTGTCAAGGTGCTGTTGCCGCCAGCAGCCGGGGCTCCAGATGGGTGTCCCCGGCCAGCTAGCCGAGCCGCGGGCTCATGCCGACTTGGACATGTGGATCGCCAGGTCCACAACACGGTTGCTGTAGCCCATCTGCAGAAGGGGCAGCAGAGAGTGCGTGAGCCTCGACGTGAACATGATGAATGCTGCAGCTGCCGCGCTCGAGCACCTATGGGCTTGCTGCTGGCAGGGAACTCGGACACGGCTGCTGCACGCCAGGCCCCACGGCCTGGGCTCCCTGCTGGCTGGCACCGCATTCTCGCCAGCCGGCCACGTGCCCCGACTGAGCGCTCATTGCTGCACCCTGCTGCCTCTCCCTGTGTGTAAGCCAAGCCACCTTCTGCTCTGCTGTGCAATGTTCTGCTGTGCCACGCTGTTTGTGGCGGCAAGGGCTGGGGGCGCCCCGACTCACCTCGTTGTCATACCAGGAGATGAGCTTGACAAAGGTGTCGGACAGCTGGATGCCGGCCTTGGAGTCCACGATGGACGAGTGTTTGTCGCCGATGAAGTCGGCGCTCACCACATCCTCCTCGGTGTACCTGCAGGCGGGCAGGCGGGCGGGCGGAGGTTGAGGGAGGGAGAGGAGCGGCAGGGCGAGCACAGTGCAGCGCAAGCAGGGGCTGGGGAGGGAGCAGGGCAAGGGGCAAGGTACAGGCTAGGCGGGGTCGGGCCTGCAGGCCGTGTGCCCACCCCACCCCGCAGCTCGCCCAGCTAGCGGCACTTCCGGCATCTCCGCTCACCCCAGCACGCCCTTCATGGGGCCCTCACTGGCGGCCTTGAGCGCGCCCATGATCTCGGCGTACTTGGCGGGCTTGTTGAGGTTGATGGTGAGGTCCACCACAGACACATCCAGGGTGGGCACGCGGAAGGCCATGCCCGTCAGCTTGCCGTTGAGGTGCGGCAGCACCACGCCCACTGCCTTGGCCGCGCCGGTCGAGGAGGGGATGATGTTCTGGGCCGCGCCTGGAGGCGGCAGGAGGAGCAGGGGTGGACAGCGGGGCAGAGGGTCGGTTGGGGGGTGCAGGAGGGCAGGGAAGGGTGCCGAGGAAGTGCATGGCACCGATAGGGCAGAGAAGCGACATGGAGATCAGCAGTGACAGCGGCGCTCGCCGAGCAGCGATGGGCTGCTGCCGAGGTTGCTGGCGCCCCAGGACAGGGCACGAGCCGCACGATGCACGCAGGCCCTCTCTTTGTCTGGCTGCTCACCGCGGCCGCCGCGCCAGTCCTTCTTGGAGGGGCCATCCACGGTCTTCTGGGTGGCGGTGGTGGCGTGCACCGTGGTCATCAGGCCCTCCTTGATGCCAAAGTTGTCGTCAACCACCTTGGCCAGCGGCGCCAGGCAGTTGGTCTGCAGGCGGGGCGGCGTCCAGGGGCCAGGTCCTGGGCACGCACCACAGCCGAGCGAGGCGACAGCAGCCAGCCATGGCAGGCAGCAGCAGCACCGAGCCCTGCCTGCTGCTCCGGCTGCAAGGCCGCCTGCACCATGCGACCCCTTCCTTCCCTCGCCGCGTCCCAGGACCAGAGCATCTGCGCCTGCCTCCAAGCAGGCGCTGGGGCTCTCCCCAGGCCAGCCGGGCAGAGCAAGCAGAGCAGGCAGGCGGGCTCACGGTGCAGGAGGCGTTAGACACGATGTCCATGCTCTTGGCATCGTACTTCTCGTGGTTGACGCCCATCACAAACATGGGGGCGTCCTTGGAGGGCGCGGAGATGATGACCTGCTCCAGAGGGGCAGGGAGGGAGGTCGGCGGCAGGCAGGGCGGGGCAAGGGGGGCGAGGGCGAGGGCGGGGACGGCAAGGTGCGGGGCTGGGGCTGGGGCTGCATGAGCTGGCCCGCTGGCAGCTGCCGAAGCGTCCCCGCGGCCAGGCCTGCGCAGCGCCATGCGGCGCGGCCCAGCGTCTGCCTGTCTGTACCCCCGCCTCCGTTGCGTTCTGCTTTTGTCGCACCTTCTTGGCGCCGCCCGTAAGGTGGGCAGAGGCCTTGGCCACCTCTGTGAACACGCCGGTGGACTCACACACATAGTCGGCGCCCACCGAGCCCCAGGGGATCTCCTCCGGCTGCAGCACCGGGCGGCGCAGCAGGCCAGGTGGCGCAGCGGCGTCAGGACGGCGCAGCAGGGCGGGAGTAGGGCTTAAGGGGCGCGGCACGAGGGCATGAGGGCACAAGTGGAGCAGCAGGCAGGCACGGGCAGGGTTGGCATGGGCAGGGTTGGCCGGCGCCGGGGATGCGCCCTTCCTGATTCCATACGCCCCTGCCCATCCCTTCCAGGGTTACCTTCATGTTGTTGAAGACCTTGATCGTCTTGCCGTTGACCACCAGCGAGTCGGCGGTGTGGCTGACGGTGCCCTTGAAGCGGCCGTGCACGGTGTCGTACTTGAACATGTAGGCGGCGTACTCGGCATCAATGAAGGGGTCGTTGAAAGCTGCGCGGCAAGCACGAGGAGGGGAGCAGCGCTGTGCATGTTGGGTGGGCGGCGGCGGCGGCGGCGAGGGCGGCGAGAGTAGGGTTGATCGGCTGGGGGGCGGCCGGCAGATCAAGGTGGCGCCACCCTCCCACGCACCCACAACCTCCACATCGTCGCGCTCCAGGGCGGCACGGCACACCTGCAGCCAGGGCAAGCGAAGCGGCGGCGTGTGGCGCAAACCCGAGGTCATCAGCCTGGCCCCGCCCAAATTCAGGCCGTCCGCCCTCCACACTGCATCTGGCCGGCCGTACACGGCACGCCCTAGCCGAGGGGCTGGATGCCATGCCGGCGATCGCCTACCAGGCGGCCAATGCGCCCAAAGCCGTTGATTCCGAGCTTGACCGGCATGGCTGGTGCGTCCTGGATGGTTAGATGCGAGTCTCGGGTGAAAAGAGGGCGGCTGCCGTCTGCAACGGGAGGTTGAGGCCTGGGTCGCAGCACAGCACGCTGGGGAGAGGTTCTCTTCCGCTCCCATTGGCCGCAGGAGCTCGGCTGAGAATCTGGAATGACGGTGAGCAATGCACAGAAGCAGGGGCGGCATGGTGCAGGTGGGTGAAGGTCAACACCCACCACGTCCCGCCGCCACCCCGCCTCACACGTCGTGGCCTGGCTGCTTCTCTGAGAGGGTGATCTACTGCTGTGGAAGAGTATGGAATATACTCATATGGAGGTGATCTAAATGGGAGGCAGCCCGCCAGCTCAACAACCATGTGCGCTGCATGCACAGCCGCTACCGGTATAGCTCGCTGGCCCACAGCTCCTTCACACGGCTGCTGTGCCGGCTGAACTCCAGCTCCTGGAACTGGTGCAGCAGGTCGACACCGCGGTCCTCCGGTAGCTGCAGCCTGAGCAGGGCACCAATCCGCAGGTGAATCACAAGTGGAAGTGGCGGAGCACAGAGGCGCATTCTGTCATCTCTTGGGGCATTTGACAGCCAGCAATCAGCAGGCAGGTGGGCAGACCACCCCCCTGGGCGATCCGCTCAAGCCCCACCTGAGCTGGTCCAGCGGTTCCCGCACTGGAGGCATGTCCAGCGCCGTCTCTATCCGCACCAGCTGCTGGCTCAGCCGCGCTGCCGCCCGTCCCTCCGCTGCAGGGCATGCAGAGCAGCGGGTCTTAGAGGAGGCACACCGAAGCCAGCCGTGATCATGCTGCAGGGTGAAACCAAGGCAAGACACCCCCGGCCGCACCTGAGCTCAGCTGCAACGCCGCCTTCTTGGGCTTGACCTCTGCCGCGTGCTCAATGAGGTTTTCCAGCGTGCCATGCTGCTTCAGCAGCGCTACCGCGGTCTTGGGCCCGATCCCTGCAACCCCCGGCACGTTGTCTGCATCGCAGGGGCAGGAGCATGCGCCCTCAAATGGGTTCATCAGTTTCCTGGAACCCCTCAACCTGGCCCGCACAGCAGGGCAAGGCAAGCCAAGCCACTGCAGCAGGGGAAGGAGCATCGAGCGCACCTGACGCGTCCCCCGCCAGCGCCAGCACATCCACAAACTGTTCCGGCTGCAGCCCATACTCGTTCTCAAAATCGGTCTGGCTGTAGGGCACCAGCGCATACTTGTTTATCCGCTCCCCCAACGCCGGCTTCTTGGGCGGGCGCAGCAGGATGATGCCCGGGCGCAGCAGCTGGAAAAAGTCCTTGTCTGGGGAGGCCACCGCCACCGCTATGCCTTCCTGCACCATGGGGCTAGGCAGGGTGGCCAAATGCTGGTGGCCCCAATGCAGCCCAGCAACAGCCGCCAGGCACCAGGCAGCCAGGGGAGAGCGTCAGGTGCCAGCACAGCGGCCGTGGCAGAGCGGCATGCCACGCACCCGCACTGCACGGTATGCCATAGTGCCAATCACGTCGTCAGCCTCCACACCCGACACCTGCGCCACCAGACATGCGTGCGTCAGTGCAGCGCAGCTTTCGAACGGCAGCCGCAGTGAGGCTGTCGTTTGACAACGGAACGCTGTTACTGGCAAGCCGTGCTGGTCGCCACTCCTGTGTCGCACCCATCCACCCACGCCAAGGCCAGCATCCTCCGCCCTGCAGTCCCCACCTGGATGACAGGTATGGCCATGGCCTTGAGCAACTGCAGGAGACGTGGGATGGCCTCCTTCACGGCATCAGGGCAGGCCTGACGCTGGCCTTTGTATCCCTCGTACATCTCATGCCTGCACAGGCGGCGGGTGAAGCGGAAGCACAGAAAAGGACGCAGTAATGGTGCTGGCAGAAGGGAGCAGAGCAGCTGGCAGAACGTTGGTGGGGGTCGGCGCAGCTAGATGACATTTGGCCAAGCCAGGCGACCAAAGCACGCAAGGCATTGAGGCAGCCAATGCAGTGCAGCAGCACCTGAAGGTCTTGCCGCGAGCGTCCAGCACCACGGCAAAGTGGGTGGGCGGCGGCACCAGCCCCAGCAGGTTGAGCAGCGTGTTGAGGAAGCCAAACAGCACGGTCGTGTCCTCGCCTGCGACAGCAACAGTGCAGCAGGCACAGTCAGAGGTCTGGCCGGCAGGCAGTCCAATCAGCAGAATGCCTGGCAGCAAGCATCATGCCGCCGGATGTGGTGGCCTGCCTGCCGCATTGCGAAGGCGGTGTGCCTCTGAGAACGCATAGTGGGAGCGGTATAGCAGAGCCATGGCGTCCGTGAGAATCATGCTGCAGGGCAGGGTGAGGCGGGGGTGGAGTGGGCAAAAATCCGGGGGAGGCATTTTTGAAAAGAGGGCAAGCGGGGCATGTGCTGCTACAAGCTGATTCAATTGCAGGCAGCGTCCCGCTGCTGCGAAAGAACTAGTGCAAGTAGCGGCCGCTGCTGCCGTCCAGACGCGCGCACCGCTTGCCACCTGGCGGCATGGACATGCCATATGCGCCCATGCTCGGCTGCTGAGGCGGCCCTGCTAGTTGCGGCGTCGCCTCCCCTGGCGCTGCCGACCCCGCTGCTGTTGCAGCGTGCAATTGTCTCTGACTGCTCTTGCTGCCTGCAAATCCGCCGCTACTCGGGCTGCTGCTGCTCAGGCTGCTGCTGGCTGAAACCCTGTGCCAGGCACCGCGCCGTTGGCGGGGCCATGGGCACGATGGCGGCGCCTGCTGCCAACAGGCCACAGGCGGCTGGGGCGCTGCCTGCAAACCCAGCACTCTTGAAGGTGCTGCTAGCTGCATCGCCATGCTGCTCAAGCTGCGCTGAGGGTTGGGCAGGGATGGGAGGGGGAGGCGCAGCACTAGCGGCAGCCCACACCGCAGGCCATGCATCGCCCTCCCGCTACCGAGTGCTGATTCCCCGCCTGGCACGCCGCTCCGACAGGGTGCGATGGCCCCAACTTTGGTCGTTTCGATTGTTGTGGGCCTGCTGATTCACGAGCTGTCGGCCAGCAACTCAAGAGGCTCAGATCAATGGTTGGGGCCGCTACCGGGCACCGTGCTAAGCATGCTCTGCCCTGCTTGGTGGCATTCACAGTAGAGCGTTGCGCAATTTCAATCAATTGATGTTGAGCTCCACATGCAGTGAACACACAGCAGGTGGTGGGCCTCCACGCACAAGCAGTAGAATGAGCGCAAGACACACACTGCACCCAGGACCATATGGATGCTGCAACAACAACACACACCGCACCCAGGCTGAGGTGGCCAGGCAGACGGCGGGGTCAGCAGACCGGCGCGTCGCAGTGCCAGCTCGACGGCGGCGGTGCCTGCCCCACTTGTGTCGTGCGTCGTCTTCTTCTGCCACCAGCCTGGCTGGCAGCACGGCCCCTCCCGTCAAGGGCCCACCTAGCAGCTACGACCATCGCGCCTTGCAACAAGGATCGGCTGCTCTAGTGGGGCGGCTGCACCCCCAGCTGCTGCCGCTGGTAGAGGAGGGTGCGCTTGCTGCTGCCCGCCACTGCCGCCCCATGCTCCCAACGCTCGCTGGGGGTCTGTCTGTCCACATCATGCCCCTACGCACGCTGCCTGCATGCCCCTATGCTCGCCATCGTGCAGGCACATTGGTGGCTCTAGAACGGGCGGCCGAGTATCGCGAGCGCCGCAGCGATGGTTACCAGGAGCCCAAGCTGCTCTACCTGGTGGGCACCTCTCACGTGTCGTCCCGGTCGGCAGAAGATGTGCGGCGCGTGGTGCAGGCGGTGCAGCCAGATGCAGTGGTGGTTGAGCTGTGCCGATCTCGTCAGGCAGTCATGGACGAGCCGCGGCAGCAGGGGTCGCAGCAGGGGCAGGCCCAGGCGGCGCTGTCGCTGTCAAGCGCCGGCAGCAGCATGAGCGATGGCGAGGAGGAGCCTGCCGGCAGCAGCAGCGCCACCGCCGCCAGCAGAGGCAGCAACCCGCGAGCCTTGAGGGAGGGCAGCCTGCTGCCCGCTTTCAAACGGAGCATGGGGCTGGGCGGCAGCAGCGCCCTGCTGCTGCGCCTGGTGCTGGGCCGCGTATCTGCGCGCCTGTCGGGCAGGCTGGGCGTGCGGGGCGGGGCGGATTTTGTGATGGCGCGGGAGGGGGCCAAGGCACTCAGTGCGCAGGTGCGGAAGTGGCCTGCCCTGCCATGTTCCTGTGGCTCCCTGTTGCGCTGCTTTTTGCGGAGGCAGCTGGCTGTTCATGCAGCTTGCCCTAATGCGAGCCTCGTGCGAGGATTCCATGCCCCTCTGTACCGCCTGCAGCTTGTCTTGGGAGACCGGCCGATTGAGATCACGTTGCAGCGGGCCTGGGACGCGCTGAGTTGGCAGCAGCGGGGCCGCCTGGCCCAGGAACTGGCAGGCGGCATGTTGGCCGCACAGCAGGTGCACACATTGCCTGCAGCTTTGTCGGTGGTCTCCATTCGCACCAGACGTCGTCAGCCACTGCCACCAAGCGGCGGGATGGCAGGCTGCGCCAGGCAGCTTGCTTTCACTGCCTGCCACACATGCCCCCTTTTGCTGGATGTAGCTGGATGTGGCGGCTGTAGAGCGCCTGAAAGACGATGATGGCGTGAGCCTGCTGTTCCAGCAGCTGAGCGAGGCATACCCCGAGGTGGGCTGGCTTTTGCTGCGGCCCTCTCCACCCATGCCAACCTCAGCAGCACATGCTCTCGCCTCTTTCTCGCTGCCTGGTCAATTGTTTGCCTGTAAGTTATCATTTGCCCCTGCTGCCTGTGGCGCACCTTGCTCTGCTCTGCCCCGGTTGCTACTTGCAGCTGGTTGGTCCATTGGTGCACGAGAGGGACCTGTACCTGGCTTGGTCGCTGAAGCGCAGCAAAGCAGTCAATGGCGCCTGTGCGGTGGTGGGTGTGATTGGCAAGGGACACCTGCGCGGCGTGTGCTACGCCTTGACACACGATGAAGGTATGTGGGCAGCTGGGGAGGTTGCTGCATGTAGCAGTTGCGGGCAGCGTGTGCACAGGAGAGGAGAGACACTAGCCCATGCAGCAGACCCGACGTCCTCCCAGCGCTTGCCCCGCGGCCCCCACTACCTGCGTGCACCCGCTTGCCCACTGTTTGTGCCACTGCTGTTGCCGGTGCTGCATCCTGCAGCGGGGGCAAACCTGCGCTTCCAGGATTTGGTTGGCGGCAAGAACGTGAAAGCAAATCGGCGGCGCCAGCGGGCAGCAGCAGTGGGGCGCTTTGCCCTGGACACAGCACTCTTTGGCGTGGTGTGGTACGCATGGACTGCGCTGCAGCCATAGTAGGGCAGCCAAAGCTTGGAGCTGCCGCTTTTCGTTCAACTTGCATGATTCATTGCTGACTGTTTGTATTCTTTCTTCGGCACACTGCTATAGCTTGATCAGTTTCAGAGCACTACTGTGCACCAGCAATTAGATCAAATTTTCTTTCACAAAGCTTCGTGCCGTCCAGTCCTCAGCCTGTTCAATGCCGCAAGTCCTGCCGCAGAGGGAGGCCTCAGATTCAGAGGCCGCCCAGGTTGTCTCACCCTTCGTTCTGACTGGCCGAGGTTTCCAGCGTCCTGGCGGCTGCAGAGGACATGGCACAAGTGTCTGGGTGCGCAGCAAAGGCAAACGACATCTGGAGGTGGGTTTCATGCGCGCCGTGGGGCTGCCAGTGCTGCTGCCTTCTCGTCGGCATGCCCGCTTGGTTGTGGTGCCTCTACTACATGTGCATGTGGCTCAAGGATAAAGTCCAAGGAAGCACTGACGAGCCGATTCAGCAGAGGAGGCAAGATCATGCATGGATGCGGCACAGCGGGGGTAGGGGAGGCTCGGAGCCAGCTGGGCGGCGGCGACCGCCGCCAAGGTACTGCACACCACGATCGAGTCTCTGCCACGAGCTGCACCCAGCCTTCCTCACAACTATTCTCGCCTGGAGACAACCTTACCTCTTGAGTTCTGCTGAAGTTCAGCTTCCTTGCAGCACTTCCCCCCAGCTTCTCGGGACGCCTCTCCCCTATAGCTTCTGTGCCTTCAAGACATCTGTGTAGCTACATCCTGAGGGCATAGAGGAGTGTATTCCCTCCACAGCCCCATGGCGCCGTAGTTATGAACACCGCCAGCGTGAACGGGGACTCTGAGCTGCTGGCGGCCTCCTCGCGCCCCTGCAAGGGCCGGAAGGTGTATTCGGTGAGCGTTGTATTTGCTTGTGCAGGTCGAGGCTTTCAATTGAGGGAGAACTGTCCCCTTGTGCCCGCAGCTGCAAAGTAACTAATCAGGGCCTGCTGATCCACCGCAGGAGGACGGCTGTGACCAATGCGGCGTCCACGTCTCCAGCAGCTTCAGAAGCGACCCACACAGTGGGCCCAACTCAAAGTGATGCCGAGGCCTTGGCCCGCTGCCCGCGGCCCCTGCCTTGTTCTGGCGCCTGAGGGTGTCCTCTCAAGGCCATTCACGGCCTAGAGCCGTTGAAGAGCGCAGCAGGGAGGGAGGGGATGGAGAGCACTGGCGGCCGCCGCTACTCCCCGCCCTTGCACGCCGCCGCCATGGCCCACACGCAGCCGACTTTTGCTGCCCCGGATGCAGGTTATGCAACTCATGCCACTGCAAGGCGTACAGGCGGCGACGCAAGCTGTCCGGGCTGCCTAGTGGTGGGGAGAGCAGCGGCGCCGAGGTGCGCCCACCCCGCCGCTTGCGGCGACGCGCCTCAGAGCCCTCCCTCTCAGCTACAGCGCTCCCCACGCCACCGGCTCTGGCCCAGGCAAGCCACGTCCGCTGCCACCCTGCTGGTTGCTGATGGTGCTGCTGTCACTGCCGCTGCAGTTGCTGCTGCCTGCCGAGGCTGCGTTTCTGGGGCTTTTGAGTCCCTCGCGGCCGTGCCATGCTGCAGCTGTCCCAGAGTTTCCCGGAACCAGCCATAGTCGAAGAGTGGCCCAACTGGGTGGCTGAGCTTGACTCTACTGAGCCCCTGCTGGTTGCGAAAGGCCCTGCGGCCGTCACGCACCTGGAGCAGTATCGTGCCCTGCAGCCCGCCCCAGCAGAGCAGGAGGCGCCCCAGGTAGGCGGCTTCAACCCATCTCTATTACGCTGTGATCGAGTGACTGTGGCGTGTGGCTTGCCTTCTCCTGAGAGTTGCTGCGGCCACTGCATGCAAGGCACAGGCAGCATGCTGAGGCTGTACGTAGCCTACTGCGTTTCTATCGCGTTTTTGTGTGCCACAGGCTGCCATGCCAGCAGCGGGCTCGCAGCAGCAGCGACTGATTGAGCTGCAGCAGCGGGTGTTTGACGAGGTGTGCAGCACTCCAGCCGACAGAATGGTGGCACTGCACTGCGCACTGCGAGCGCAGCAGGCCACGCCCAGCTTAGGCCAAAGGTGCGCCAAGCCGACTGAGCAGCTCGAGGCCAGCAGGGTAGCTACCTGCTAGGCGCATCTTGGGGTGGGCCTGCTTGCATGAGCGTTGCTGGGTCCGGAGTCGGGCGTCAAGTGGCAAACACTGCGCCCCCTGTTGCCTCCTCTTGTGCTGTAGGGCGGTGCTGGGCGTGCTGCCCCGCATCATGCTGCAACTCCCTGACGACCCCTCTGGCATTCTTCACAGCGTGTCGTGCCTGGCTGAGGCGGTGATGCTTGGCAACCAGGAAGAGCAGGCAGCAGATTCGGAGGATTGCACCGGGCAGCATGCACACACGTCGGCTAGCAAGCCAGCGCCAGTTGCGGTGCGGCTGACACTCTATGCATCCGGTAAGCAGCCACTTCCACACCCGACCCTGCTGCTGCGCATGTCCGCCACGTGCTACCGTGTGAGCGCATGCCATAAAGTGTGTTGCGCTGCTGCTGCATGCTGCTCATGCATGGCCGCCACGGCTGCTCCATGTGGGTGCAGCGGGCGCGGTGGCATGTTGGCAGGAGGGACCTGCCGACCCCATGCTCTCGCTCACCTTCAGCACAGTCACCCGGGTTCCCATCTGGAGCAGCGGGTGAGCCTGCAAGCCTGGCATGCACAGCAAGGCCCGGCACATGCCCATCTTGCACGCAGTGAAATTGCAGTGTTTGCTTGTAGACGGCTTGTGCCTCTCTGCTCCCTGTGCTGCGCGGTCGCTTTGTTCTCGTATCTGGCGTGGGCCTTGCTCCGGCTGCAGGCCAGGCGGCTTTGCTGTGCACTTCCCGCACGCCTTCTGTCCCCAGGTGGACCTGTTTTTAGGCGAGTGTGCAGCAACTGCTGGCCTGTATGCACAGCCTGTTTGCCATTACTGTGCTCAGGCCAACCAGCCTGTGAACACGCTTCGCAAACTGTCCGCTGCCCCTGCTTGGCTGAGCCTTCCTGTTTGCTGCCTCCCTGCCTGTGGTGCAGCCATCCACCAGCATGTTGCGGAACTGGGGTCGCGGGTGCTGCAGCCGCCGCCGCTGTCATTGGACGTCGGTACGATGTGGTGTGTCGGGGCAGGGCAGGGACAGTCTGTGCCACCTGCAGCCTTCACCCTTGCACCATCGATGCCGGATCCTATGCAGCCTGTCCACCTGCCGTTGGCGGCAGTGGAGCAGCATTTGCCTGCCGGACGCTCCTGCCGCCAACAGCAGGAGCCAGTAGGACAGCTGCTGCCGCTGGGCCCTCTGGTGGCCTCTGGTGCCCTCTACTCTGCAGGCGGGTTGCCCAGCGACGCAGGCTTCTCTTTTCTTGAGCTGTGAACCTGCCACCGCCTCTTGGCGCCTCGCATTTGCCACCTCCTGTACGTTGTGTGCCTGCAAGCTTGTACCCTCCCACACTCTTTGTTTCCTTTTCTGGAAGTCTTCTTAGCGGCCGTCTTTGGGTCACCCCCCATCTGTTCTTCAGCCATGCTGCTTCTTTCAATAAGCGTGCGCAGAAATAGAAGCTTACTGGCTGCCGCCCTGGCCTGCGCTTCTTTTACCCTCGTCTGCCCGAGCCATCCTTGGCAGACGCCACCTGCTCAGAGCATGAAGAACATCCTTTTTGTTGGATCATCTGAGGGCTCCTTATGCCTCAATTGCAATTGCACACTCCAGTACCTGCTCGCTACAGCTTTCAGATTCTTGCCCTGCTTTACCCCCTTTTCCTCCATCATTTGTGTTCCTCTTTTGCAGGACCTGTGCCAATCGTGCCGAACGCTCGTGCCGAACGCTTCCCCTGCGCATTTGCACCCACAGCCTGCTCAAGGCACTTTACAACCGTCTCTCCACCATGTGCACCCACGCCGATTTATTTGTTAGGCACAAACCATTCATTACTCGTTTACACCACCGCGGGAGGCAAACACACCTCCGCCGTCTGCAACAGCTCCGAACAAATTCAGTTCCAAACGTGACGGCTGTAGGTCAAACTACTAGCTGCAACTGCTCCTAAGGGTGGGTAGCAACGCATGCTGGTGCATTGAAGAATCTGGGGGCACAGAGCTTTGCAGTTCAGGGCTAATAATGATGTGGCAGAATGAAAGGGTGGGGCTGATCAGTCATTGGAGGGCAGGGAAAATAGGGGCTGACTGTGTAGCGAGGGTTTGCAAGGCCTACCAGCATTGTTGCCAGGCAGGGGATGGGTTCATTAAGGAAACAAGCTGGGCACAAGGTAACAAACGGCTCCTCTAGGGGAGGAAGTAATGAGCTGATCCACCACGCAAGTGGGTGTGACACCCGAGGTGAGCATGTAGCGCAGAGGCTGCGGGCGAAGCACAACCAGGCTGCCAACAGCCGCCCAGGTTTCGTCTCGACAGCCTCCTAGCGGCCGCCAGAGCGCTTGCGCTCCAGAAAGTCGCACTGCTCGGCGGACAGGCGGGCCTGCTCGTCGACGGAGACGTAGCGGTAGGAGGCGGCGGCAGGGGCGCCCCAGGAGGAAGAGGAGGAGGCAAGGGAGGAGCTCGAGGCGCTGTTGCCCAAAGGGCGGGTCGGGGTGCGAGAGGAGGGACGGGCAGGTGTGGAGCTGCGGCCGCGCGTTGGAGCGGGCGAGGGGCTGCGAGGCTCAGAGGCCTTGCGGGCCAGGAACGCCTGCTGCTCGGCGGACAGGCCACTGGACAGGGCGGTGCTGCTGCTGCGGCCGCGGGAGGCGGAGTCAGCGCTGCGGCCCTGCAGCAGCAAAAGAGGAGAACAGGAGCGGACTCGTCAGCAGAAGGTCATCACACGTGGGGTTGCTCCTCCAGAATAGCTGCTCTTGCTGTGCCTTACCCGGGTGGGAGCGGAGGCAGGAGCAGCGCTGGACTCGCGGCGCTTGCGCTCCAGGAACGCCTGCTGCTCTGCCGACAGGCCCGCGGCGGGGGTGGTGCTGAGACCCTGCAGCGGGCAGAATCAGGGAAAGGGGAGAGGGCAGGCACATCTTTGAGGCGATGTAAGCGATTGGGTGCGGTTGCAGGGCACTGCACTGGAGGAGTGACTCGGCAGGCTGGGAGAAGTGCTCATGTTGCTCACCCGGGGGGCGGGGCTGGGCGAAGCGCTCGACTCGCGGCGCTTGCGCTCCAGGAAGGCCTGCTGCTCAGCAGACAGCTTGGTGTGGTCGAGCACCACCACGGCCTGGACGCGCAGGCGCTGCAGGGCACAGGACGCTCGCTGTTGTTGCCAAGCTGCGGCCACCATGGAGGGCAGGCTGGCGGCCCGGGGCGCCGGCCGCCATGGTGCAATGCCTGATTGTTGCATTGCCCACAGGCAAAGTGGTATTGGCAGCCACTCGTGGCAGGCTTGCAAGGCCGCACCTGCACCCGGGAAGCGCGAGCCAGGCTGGGGCGGGAGCCGAAAGCCCTGGAGGACACCTGAGCGGCCTGCATTGTGCACCTGTCAAGTTGTGATTCACGACGTAATAGGCAAAGATAGGCAGCAATAGGTAGGAATCTTCGTTTATGAAGATGGGTAGTAGTGCCCGCTGGGCGCTACGGCCGCTGTGGGCGCTGTTGCACAGGGTCGCGGTCAGAGGGCTTGCATCAACAGCCGTCTAATAACAGCCTGGGTGGTTGTTGGTGGCCAGCAACAAATGGATAGCTTGGGGTGACCGCCGTTGATCGGCACGCCAGGCATGGCAAACCGGTCGTGCATGCCGCTGCCGCCGCCGCCGCCCCGCGGCCCAGGAACTCAGAGGAGAGTGAGAGTCACCGCCCGGGGGGAAAGTTGTGATGCTTGCTACCAGCTTCTCGTCAGGAATCGCTGGAAGCCCCGCTCCCTGCTCCACCCTGCTTTGCACCAGATGGCGGTCCTTGCTGCCAGAGCGACACATTCCGACAAACAGCGTTCCTTGGCCCCTCTGCCCTCGTGTTATCTCGAGCGCTGCCTCACACTTCCTCCCAGCCAGTGTGTCGGGCCGCTGCCCCGCGTCCCTTCTCTTTCGGGACTCATCAAGCCTCATTTTGACGCTACCTAGGCTCCCTTTGGGCCGGATCGGTCACCTGAGAGCCCTGCGGGCGCTGTATCTAGCTGAAGCGCCACCCGGTGGGATCGCCACTGGCGCCCTGCGGCGACGCCGCCCGCTCCCTCTCGCCCCTCGCTCTATGCCTATGGCTGCTGGCGGTGCCCACCCCCTGGCCATTGCCCTGGCACTGGTGGTGCTCGTCGCGCCGGCTCGTGTTGCGGCGGCCTGTACCAACAACACCGTCAACGGCAAGCTACAGTGGCCCGCGTACAGCAACTTCGTGGTCCTCGCCACAGCCACGCAGGACTGTGGCTTCAAGAACAACACGCCCTGCAACTCCTGCTACCTCTACCGCACGTATTCGCAGCCTGCAGCCGGGGCAGGCAAGCTGTGGTCCTTCAGCACACCTGGGAAGCCCGGCGTGCCCCCGAATGCCTCCACCGTGGTGAAATACGACCACATACTGGTGATGCCTGCCAGGGGCTGCCGCGGCGTCGAGGAGTGGCGCACCACTAAGTGCGGAAGAGAGGACAGCTGGTAAGCTGACACGTGATGCGGCGGCGCACGCAGCGGCGAGGGGTGGGGCGCTGGACCAGCTGGCCGCCCTGCTTGACCGGTCAGGACTGTGCCCATCGCCTGTCACGCCCGCATCCGCTTGGTGCTACCTGCAGGGATCAGGCATGGAGCCTTGTGCGGGCAACGCAGGCCAAACGGACCAAGGCGTTTGCTATCAACGCCACCAAACGCCGCACTATGCATCAGGTGCACAGTGAGGAGTGGGTGCGCTATCTTACTGTTGTGGGGCTGCGCCTGTGCTAAGCTGGCTGCCCGCCGCCTGCACTGAACACCTGGCATGCCTGCCCTGGAGCTGCGGTGCAGATGCATGTGCATGTGGCGCAGCTCGACACAGCACTGCAGACCTTCCTCAAAAGCGTGGCAGTGGATGCCCCAGACTGGAAATATGCAAATTGCACCGGGTGGCAGAGCTTGAGGTGTGCAGCCACCAACAAAGCCACGGGAGTGGCTGCTGTGTGCAAGTCGGTCAACGCTGGGCGGGGCCCCTCCGATGCGGTGCCTTTTGAAAGCGTCTACGGCACATACAACAGCACTGCTACCATGCTGGCCACCACAGCAGTTTACTCGCCGCGTGACAATGTCTTTTGCGTCCTTCGGGCAACTGACCGGCCGGTGGGCAGGCGGCCAGCTGCGGCATGCCCTGCTGCCGTCTGGGCGGCACAGGCTGCTTCCTTCCCATCTGTGTGTTGGGTTGATGGTGTGCTGGCTGCCCCTGTTGCAGGCTGAGTGTCTGCTCCGATGCAAGACGGAGTGCCAATCAAAGGCTGGCATCAAGTGCCCGTGAGCCGCCCCACCTTCCTGTGGTGGTCAGCGCCTCCTGGTGGTTGGTCGTGCGTTATTACATGGCGGGAAGTCCGAGAAGGATGGCGGATACAGGCACCGCTATGTATTGCAGACTGGCAGACTGAACCTAACCGACATAGGGATGCCCACCAAATGCTGCTGGGCAAGTGTTGACCTTGCATGGCAGATACGTGTATAAAACAAGAAGCAAAAATGTGTGAACGTGTGAAATAAACAGCAGAAGTGCTAGAATATGAGCAGATCTCTCGGGGGTGAGGCGCGGCGTAGGCGGCGACATGCGGGGCAGAGGGGAGTCAACCACCACAGACTCAGTTGGAGGGCATCTTGTACTTCTCCTCCAGCTGCACCCAGATCTTGCGCAGCTCGGCGTCTGCAGAAGGACGCAGCATGGGGGTAGGAAGCGGGTCAGCAACCGGCGTGGACAGAGCAAAGATTTGTGCAGCACATGCGCAGACCACGCAACGCACATAGTAGGCGGCACAGAGGCCGCGACCTGGCAGCTGGCACTCACTCTCGGCGAAGCTGCTGTCGATGATGGTGGAGTTGTCGGCGGTGGCGCAGCGCTCAGGGGTACCCTTCACGATCTTGGACTGCCAGCTGGGCACGGAAGTGGCGCCAGTGCCGTCCAGGCCCTCCTCCTTCATCAGCGACAGGTAGCGCTGCAGGCGCGCCTTCTGGGAGCGGCGCGCATCCTTAGAGTCGAAGGCGTACGGAGCCTCCTCCTCGCGCAGCATGGTCTGGCCGCCCTGGTTGCACACGTCAGCGGGGCCGGCCACCAGGCGCATCTGGCGCGGGGTCATGGGCTGCAGCGGGGTGTACAAGGCAGAAAAGAGTTGGAAACAGTTTGCCAACTTCAGGTCGCTTTCAACAACAACAGATCCAGCAGGAAAGAGGCTGACGGGCACACACTGGCAACCCGTGCTTCTCACCGGCATGGCGGTCAGGTCCAGGTGGGTCTTCACGCCATCGACCACGACGTAGGCGCTAGTGGGTGCCACAAACTCCATGTTGGGCGAGGCATCCTCAAAGTCGTTGGCCCAGTTGTGGATCTGCACGCCGGTGACGACTGCAGCAGAGGAGAGGAGGGCAGTGCAAAGCGGGGAGAGGCATAAGAACTCTGGTCGGCACAGCTGCGTGGCACAGCCAGCTGTACAACACGTGGGCTGCACGCCAGGCTGCACATCAACTCACCGGCGTAGTCGGCCTTGTCGGTGTTGACAGTCTTGGAGATGAGGAACTCCAGATCGTCGGAGATGGTGCGCTCAGCCACCTTGGTGATGTCGACTGTGAGGGAAGAGAGGTGGGGAAGCAACCAGTCAGCACGTGAGAATACGCAAATTGGTGAGGCAGGCAGCAGGGCGTTGAACTGGACAGCATGTGGGTGGGTGCAACACAGCCATGCTGTGGCACCCACCCAGGGACAGGTTCTTCACAGACTCGTCGGTGTTGCCCTCGTGCCTCAGGCGGCGGGCAATGCGCTGCTTCAGAATGCTCATCTCAGGGTCCAGAGCATCGTGCACTGCAGGTGTAAGGTTGGGTAGCTGTGTGAGCAGCTGATCACACGAGAATGTGTAAGGCTGCCACACAGCAGCAAGCAAGGCGCATCAAGATGGGCCAGCATGCAGTCGGCCCATGGCTCACCGCCGGGGATCTTGCAGTTGCAGGTCAGGCCCTCGCTCTTGATCTCGTTGGTGGCCTTGATCAGGGCACCGCAGGCGCAGGACTGGCCGGGGCGGCCGGGGCGGGACATGGGGCCCACCTCACCGCTGGCGTTGATGCTGCAGGCAGGCAGGAGGGAACGATGAATCAGGATGCGGCAGCTACAGCGAAACAGCACCAGAAAGACTGAGCATGCACGTTGCCGCCAAGCCAGCTGCCCCGCGCCCACCTGATGTGGGGGAACGAGAAGAACACATAGCGCTCCTTGTTGCTGCTGCACAGAGGAGAGTGGCTGAAGCCGGCGCCCATGCCAGTCACGCCGCAGGTCAGCACGCCGCCCAGGCCGTTGGTGGAGAAGGCGGAGCCAAAGGTCTCCTCAATGCGGTGCTTCAGGGTCAGGGTCACCTCGTCGCGACACAGGTTCACCATGGCTGCGGGGCAGGTTGACAGTACAATTTTGTTTGAGCTAGGAGGGGGAATGGGGGCAGCTGCCCAGACACTAGACAGCGAGAGATCTGGAGATGAAATGCAGGCATGCCGACAGTGCGACCCGTCCTCACCGATGGAGTTGTCGCCGGTGAACCCAAAGGCGTACAGAGCCATCTCCACGCGCTGCATGAAGTCGTCCGCGCCCAGAGAGGAGGGGAAGTGCTTCTGCACGGCGTTGGCGCGGCCTGGACGGGGAAGGAGAGCAATAGACGAGCCAGCGCATGTGTGGGTATGCATGCATGCAGAGGGTCCGACTGCCTCAAGCCAACATGCATGGCCAGCAGGCAGGCCATGCAGCCTAGCTCACCAGTCAGGTACTCGACCTCGGCCGACTCGGGTGCTGCCTCCAACGCCTCGCTCCTGGCGGAGGCACGGGCCACAGCCTCGGGGCCGCCGATGATGATGGTGCCATCAGACTCCACCACAATCATCTTGCCGTTGGCCTCAATCACAGTGTCCTCGCCCTCGGTGGCGGCTGCAGGGCATGGTGTGTGGGGTTTGGAGGGTTCAGAGATGCGATGTTGGGGGGGCAGATGCATCTGAAGATCAAGAAGCGGGGCCAGGTGGCAGATCTGAGAGCAACTCCATGCAAACAAATCATCCCATCCCTCCCCAACTGGCTGGCATGCTGGCAGAGAGCTGGTCAAGCATGTTTGCTGTTACACAGAGGGGGGCATAAGCCTGGCCCTCGCCGTGTCTCCCACGGACGGGGTGGTAGTGGACCAGGCACTGGCGACAAGTCAAAGGTGCACTTGCATTCTGCGCTGCCTGAAGTGCTTGCTGCTGGGGCGCTGAACGAGTTTGCGGCGTGCTAGAGATCGCAGAACGGCCCTGCCCAGCCTCACCCTCGGTGGCGGCGGCGTGGGTGAACACCAGCCGCTGGCGGCGTGCCTCGGCCTTCTGCGCAGGGCGGCGAGAGTTCAGCCTGCATGCTGCCTGCATGCTGCTGCGGTGAGCGCGAGGCACGGTGGCCTTGTGCGCACCGCCGCTGCAACAAGCGCAGGTGGTGGTGCGCATGGTGGCAGAGCTCAGGGCGAGGGGCATGGCTGCAATGTGAGGTGTCGTTGATGATCAAACTGGAGTACCGAAGCAGCGGGGTTGGATGCTTGACATTCCCAAAAGTTCTCCAATAACATGCTGCGGCGTGCTGTCCTGCATGGCAACCACGCATCGCATGCCCCACACCTATACCACCGACCTGCTGCATGCATACACTGTCTCTTCACAGCATAGCTGCTGCGACACCACCTGGCCCTCTTTGGCACCGCTTCAGCCACCAGTCTTCACGGTCTGTGATCCTACTCCCCTCCACATCTACTCCAACAGTCCCAGACCCCGCCCCCACCCCCCGTGATGAGCTCCTTCAGCCTGCTAAAGCCAATGGGGGCGGCCGCGCCCCCCAGCGCGGCCCTGGCACGCCCCGCCGCCGGGCAGCGCCCGCTGGCGGCGCAGCTGCGCCAGCGCCAGCCGGGGCTGGCCGCCCTGACCCAGCGCCATCACGCCGCTGCCTGCCGTTGCAACCGGTGCGGCCGCGGTGTGGCTCTGCGCACCTCAGCTGTGGCCAACACCGACAAGCGGGAGCAGCCGCACCCCTACTTTACCGACGAGTGGAAGGAGTACAACCGCCAGTTCCAGCGCCCGGTGCGTGCCAGGCTGGGCCTACACGGCCTCTACTGTCCGCCACATCTGCACAGCAGGCAGTATGCCAAGTGGTGTTGAACGCAAAGAGAGCTCTGTTGCCGGCCCAGTTGCCTGTCCACCAACGTCTCCAACCCGAACTCACCAACACAAAGCTTCCCACGTGCAGGTGTTTGACTTTGAGCGCTGGAAGACCCATCGCAGCTCCAGCCGTTACCTGCGCCACGTGCTGGGCATGGGAGACTCCAAGATTGTGAGCAGGGCCTGGCTGCTATCGCATCTTGCATGTGTATGCCCACAGGTGCTAATGTTGTGTATGTTGCAAATTTCACCAAGGCTTGCTGCCCTGGCTGCCACAGGTGCAAGGCCTGGCCAAGCCCCTGGCCTATGTGATGACTCTGGCCACCGGCGTGGCCCTCTACCACACGCTGGCAGAGGTGAGCTGCCACCCGCTTCCACCCTGTTTCCACGCAGCAACTTACTGGTTAGGCTGCCGAGTTTTGACACGCCTGGTGCCGTCTGCCGCAGGCTGGCTACCTGACTGATGTGCCCGACCTCAAGGCCACCAACGCGCCCTTCGGCCTCACCTCCTTCGCCCTGTCCCTGCTGCTGGTGTTCCGGTGAGCGCTGCTTCAGCAGGTTAACACGCCGCTCTGATTGATGCCGGTGAATCTGCTCTCCCAGTCCATGAACCAAGTCCTTGTCTTCGAGCCCATTTCGACTCAATTCCTCCTGTCCTGCTGTCTCTGCCCCCCACCATCTGATCGCAGCACCAACACCAGCTACCAGAGGTGGGATGAGGCGCGCAAGATGTGGGGCTCCATGGTGAACCGCAGCCGCGACTTCACCCGCCAGGCTCTGGGCTATGTCCCCTACTCCCAGCCTGAGCTGCGCTCGATGCTGGTCCGCTGGAGCATCGCCTACCCGTGAGTTGGCGGCTGCTCTCACGGCTTGCTGGCCTGGCCTTATCTGGCCTGTGCACGTGTTGTAACTCACCCGCTGTTTTTCAATCACCCTGCTCCTGACGTGCTGCAGACGTGCGCTGATGTGCCACCTGCGCCCTGGCGAGAACATTGAGGAGGAGGTGAAGGACATCCTGAAGCCAGAGGAGGTCAAGGCCCTGGCTGCCTCCACCCACCGCCCCAACTACTGCATGCAGGTGCATTGTGGTGCTGGTGACATGGCTGGTTTTTGTTGGCAGCAGCTGCGAATGCATGCACAAATTATATAAGGTCCCAAAGCTGACGGTTGCTCCTGCTTACTGCTGCTGTCTGTGACTTTTGTTTCCTGCAGGTGCTGACTGCATGCATCAAGCAGGCGCAGCTGCCGGCAGCCGTCACCAGCAACCGTGACAGCTATGGCGCTGTTCCCGCGGGTGCTGCGTACCGCATGGACGAGAACCTGACCGTATACTCGGATGTGACTGGTGGCTGCGAGCGCATCCTGCGCACCCCCGTGCCCTTGTCCTACACCCGGTGAGGGCCCCGTCTTCTCACGTGTTGAGGCACAGACCTGCGTGGCTTGTTGCCCGCCTTGGCCATCACCCGCCCACCCGCCCTGCTCCCTTGCCTCCCTGCTTTGCAGCCACACCTCTCGCTTCATGATGATCTGGCTGACCCTGCTGCCCTTCACTCTGTGGGACAACTGCGGCTGGGCCATGCTGCCCATCACCTTCATTGTTTCCTTCCTGCTGCTGGGTGAGCAGCTGCAGCCGGCTACTGCGGTAGCAGCACACGTATCCTGGCAGTGCATGCCGCTGACTCGAAGCCAGCTTGTGAGACGCCCCACCCACCCACCACTTGGCAGTTTGTTGAGCATACTATCACCCGCGCCGGTTGCAGGCATTGAGGAGATTGGCGTGAGCATTGAGGAGCCCTTCACCATTCTGCCGCTGGAGACCATTGCCCGCACCATTGAGGCCAACCTGCGCGAGCTGGAGGCCACCCATGGCCCTGCCACCCTGGGCAAGGCCCCTGAGGGTGCCATGAATGCCACCGAGCTGCTGTACGAAGTGATCCCCAGCGCAGCCCCCGCTGACACCGTGAACGCCAACTCGAATGGCGCCCAGATTGCCGTCAAGGCATGAAGCATTGCACCAGTTGTTCTGCTGATTGGGGCAGCCACGCAAAGGCAACAACGCCCCGACGGTCCCACCCATCAGGGCCACGTGCTTGCTGCTGCACGGCCCTCATTTCATACCTCCCGGTGGGTCTATAGCTGTTTGACACATTTTATCACGTATACGTATCAGCACTCAATCCCGGCGTCTCCTCGGCTACTCTTAGGACGTCCCAACGATTCCTTCTGCTCCTCGGTCCACAGCACTCGCCCGCCACCCTGTTCCATCATGCTGGGCATGTACAGCCTTCGCTTTTGCTTCGCATCTGTTCCATTCTACATGTTACATTACATGTAAGAACAACTTGGACACCTGCTGAATAGAGCGGAGTATGCACTATGAGAGGTCAAGCATGCAAAGCATCAAGCCCGGTCGAACATGAGAGGTGGTAGAAGGAAGAGAAAGGGCTGTACAAGAGGCCCAGATCAGGCCAATCAAAAAGCTCACACTGAGAAGGTGCAGAGAATGCCAAAACTGTGTGGCTGGTCCACCACCCACCAAGATTAAGCGGGGAAAGGGAGCATCGGCCAGGCCACCTGCCAGCATTTGCGCTCGCTAAACTAGCTAGCATCTCACTCACAAACATCCTCGTTAACCGCCTACCCATAAGTGTGCATGCCTATTGTCCATGTCCGCTCCTACTCCTGGCCAGACGGTGCTCGCTGCCTCCCTGCGCCGCCGCCGCCGCATCTGGTGTCCCCCGAGCTCCGTCGCGCGGACGGCGCGTTGGCGAGCGCTGCCGCAGTGCGCGGCGCACCCCTGACGGCGAGCCGGTGTCCTGGCCTGCATTGACAGCCAAGGGGAGCCCAGGACAAAGATTGCATGTGGAGAGGAGCTACTGCAGGAGGGTGTGTTGGGCAACGAATGCCGATATGTATGGGAAATGGTGGTCAATAAGCACGATTCATGTTGAGCTGCTACCCACCTGCAAACCTTGGCGAGGGCATGTGCACCACATGATACTCTGGTGCATACTGCTGCAGCTGCGCCACTGCTGCCATATAGGTGCCCGCCGCCCCCGACTGCTGCTGGTGCAGCTGGTGTGCAGCTGCAGCGCCAGCCGCCGCCGATAGGTGTCGCTGGCCTGGGCTGGCAGCAGACGGGGCGGCGGCCGCCGTCCTGCCGCGCCCCGTGGCGATGGGCTTTAGCTGCTTCGGAAGAGGCACAACGTCTACCTCGCCGCCCTCCTTTGAGGACCACTTGCCAACAGGCTGTCCAGGCGGCAGGTGCTCCTGCTGCTGCAGTCTGCGCTGCTTCCGGCGATACAGCAGGAAGCCAGCCAACACAGCCGCCAGTGCCAACACCGCGCCAGCAGCGCAGGCAGCGATGATAACTGCCATGTTGCTGCTGCTGCTGCTGGCAGCAGTGTTTGTCACGGTGCCGCCGTCGGTTGAGGGCACAGGAATAGAGGCTACAGGAGTAGAAGAAGGGGTGGTAGCCACTGCTGGTGTGGGGTTGGCAGGAGCAGCGCCAATGCTGCTGCCGGCAGGGCTTGGTGTCGCACCAGTGGGGCTGTTGGCCAGAGGGACACAGTCGGCACAGTCCTGTGTGCCGGGTGGCTTGCTGCTGCCGTGGCATTGTGCATCAGGCAGGGTGTTGGTGCTGGCATCGGTGCAGGTCACCGTGCGAGTCTGCAGCGTGAATAATGGTAGGGCAAGCTGCAAGTCAGCAGAGCAGCAAGCTTCCCAAAATGGATCCAAAGGCAGTTACTTGAAAATTGTGATGGGTCGCCTGCCTCGTCAGAAGCCAAGCACGCTCACCTGCGTGCATTCAGCAGAGCATGCGCTCCAGGGCCCCAGCTTCCAAGTGTGGATGCTGTCGGGGACACTGACGGTGCCGGAACCGGCGCTTTGTGCGGCATCTGCGCAACCGGGCAGAGATTGAGGCAGGTATCACCATTGTTAAAACACAGCTCCACACTCAGCGAAGGTGCTGCAGCCATGCAGCAACAGGACACTCACCGGCTGCAGGTGCCGAGGCATCCGGCCCCACCGAAGCCACCGTGGCAGATGCGCTGTGCAGCGTCACAGGCGGCAGCTCGCCCCGCACTCCCTCGCCACCGGCAGTAGTGATGCTGCACCACAGCAGGCAAGGTGGCGTTGGTGGCAGTCAGTGGCAGCAAAGTTGGCCAGCTGTGGCACTGCCTGCCATCCTGTCGAGCACAGCAGCTGATTGATGTGCATGTGAGCGCCACACCTGAAACTGTACTGGCCCGAGGCACCTGCCACACCATCGACAACAAATGCATAGCCGACCCCAGCCTTGAGAGAGGCCTGAAAGCAGGAGTACGTGAGGGAAGGACACTCAGCGCAGCGTTGCACAAATGACCCAGGAATGTGTCCAGCTCCGGGCCAGCGCAAAGCTAGCCAGAAAGCAGGGTCATACTGCGTGCCTCGACACTTGCCGTGAGGGAGGGCAGCATGCCACACGCGTTGTTGCTGCAGGCCGTGGCGCGCAGATTGCCACCGCTGTCCACATCGGCCAGCATGTAGAGGCGGGAGTCAAAGGTGTTGGCCAGCGAGGCGCTGCCGCAGAGCGAGGCAGTGACGGTGCAGTCAGCCACAGGCTTGAAGTAATAAACCACATCCTGCAGCAGCCGGGGGAGGCATGGCAGGCAGGGGTCGGGGGAAACTAGGGGTTCAGGGCCTGCTACCATGTTGATGTAGGGCATGACATACCCATGGCCGCTATGTGCTCACCGGTGCGCCACCAGAGTCCGCATCAGCAGCGCCGCACACCACGTTGTAGTCGTCGCGGTACTGTCCTGTACTGCCTGCACCACCTGTACTGCCCTGCTCGGTGAAGGGTAGCTCAAGCACCACCTTGGGATAGTTGAGCGTGTCGCCCTTGCTGTCAGACAGGGTCACTGCCACCTGCATGTCCAGGAGCAGGAGGGGCAACGGGAAGGCGGGGCAGCTGGGAGGTGCAGCAGGGCAGGGTTAATTGGGATGGGCATGGTTGGTGCAGGGGTCATTCAAGGGATGCGATGCAAGGCAGGTACATGTTCCGCTTGTGGGCAGCGGCAGTCTATCAAAGCAGGGGTGTGGTATCCAGCACGGGCAGAAAGAAGAAGGCGCAACGCACCTGGTCGGCTTTGAACCGTGAGTCGGCAGAGGCGGACTGCACACGCACCACCATTGGCTTGCTGTCGGTGCTGTAGAAGGGGAACACTGCAAGCAGGGCACGGGGTACTGTAGCGTCAGTTTGGTGGCACTGCAGCAGCCATCTTCCATCTGCGTTTTGCCCTGCAAGGCAGGGGCTGCGGGGCACATCCTGCTGCCCTATGCCGCGCATCCCCCACCTGTCAGCCTCACGCTTTGCGCCTGCTTCCAGTTGTTTGGGGTGAACTGCAGGCTGCGTGGCTGCAGGGAGCCTCGAGAGGCATCTGCAGCAGGCAGGAGGGCGGCGGCATGCATGGCATCTCAAGCACCTGATCACCGCAGTACCAGTGCGGGCCGCTTTGTGCCCTGGTTGGCATGCTGCTGAACTGGTGTGCAGAGCACAGCCAAGGCTGATTAACCCACCAGCTGTAAGCTCTACTGTCACGATGCTGGCAGGCTGCTGCAACAATGTCACGGTAAAGGTGAAGGGGCCGGATTTGGCAGACGCAATGGAGAACTCGGTCGGGCTGATGCTCATGGCCGCCGCCCCGCTGCTCGCGGGCGTCTGGAGCAGCAGGTTTGCGGTGCTGGTCTGCATATGCATGACAGCGAAGCACCAGAAGTTCTCAGGCACACAGGCAGGGCAGAATGACCTGCAGGAGTTGCCTAGTCGGCTTACGCCAGCGATCACCATGCAAAACCCTCCGGCGTCTCCTGCCTCCTCGCCCGGCAGCGCTGTTTCCCGCACCTGCTCCAGAGTGGCAAAGCCGCTGCCCGACACCTCGCTCAGCTTGTCCGCGGCGGCGCTGGCGGTCAGGCGACGGTGCATGGCGGCCGGTGTCGTGCCGCCGGCATTCTGGAGAATCTGAGCCATGACGCCTGCCACAAACGGTACCGACTGAGAGGTGCCGGTGCGGAGCCTGCATGAAGTGGCAGGGGACCCGGCAAGACAGCCAGGTTAGTTGGAGAAGCAAATAGGACGGCTGCGGAGCATGTGCGCACAACCAGCGCAGCTGCCAGCTCGGGGTTGCTTTTGCACAGCCAGCTGTGCTGCCGCCGCTCACTGCTGCGCATCATCGGAGCTGGCGGCGGCGCTGAGGATGTTGGTGCCTGGGGCAAACAGATCGATGCATTCCCCATAGTTGGAGCCCTTGCCTGCGCAGGCACGCACATGCATCATGCATCTGTCAGGGAGAGCCATCACGTGAGCAGCAACACACCCGTAATGAGCATCAGGCAACGCATCTGGCATTGTTCGAGAAAGGAGATCATCCCCCTCTGCTGACGCGCAAGATCCTTCGCCGCGCCCGCGGCCTGCTCTGCCCAGCGGGCGCACCCCTAGACAGCCACAGGCGCTGGTCTCCATCTGTGCTGGCTCCCACGGTGACGGCGGTAGCCTCGCGCGCGGGGCTGCTGTCGCAGGCATCCATGTCTTCGTTGCCGGCAGCCACCACCACATGAATGCCTGCCTCAGTCACAGACTGCACCGCCTCATCCAGCTGCAGCTGCACCTCGCCTGCAAGAATGGAAAAAGGGGAGACCAATCAAGGGAGGGTCATTTGCATATGAGGGGCAAGGCATTGAAAGCACCAGCAACAGTGTGCGGCTTGTCAGCAGATGGCAGCAGCAGGGCACGGCACCTCCGAGCGACATGCTGACGATTGCAGGGCGCAGCGCATTCTGCTTCAGCCAGTCCAGCGCCAGCAGCACGTCCGACACTGCGGCGGCGGGGTTGATGGTGCAGCAGGGTCAGCAGGCTTGTGGGCAGATGCTATCGCGAGCCTCCAATGCGTTCAATACACCACGAGCGGTGCTGAGATGCATGGTTTAAGCAGTGTAAGTGCCTCCCCTGGCTGCCCACCTGCGCCGTTGCCCTCACAGTCCAAGATGCGCACGGCATGCAGCGTGGCGTCTTTGGCCACACCGTATGTCAGCCCGCCGACCACCGCCGCCACGTGCGTGCCATGCCCCTCGCAGTCTGCATGTAGTGCGAGCCAGCTCATGCCATCAATCATTCCATCAGCCGAATCATACAGCTTGGCCACCAAATGACCTTCTTGTAGGGTGCAGTCATATTTCATCCTCTGTAAGACAAACAGATGACAGCAGCTGCCTGCCCCTTCCTTGTCACAAACCTTCCCTTCACCCACCCTGGTCGCTGTATTCAGATGGGAGAGAGGGGGCCGCAAACACCTCTGATGCACGGCTGCCAGGGCGGCCATCCAAGTGCTTGAACTCGTTGTGGGTGGCACGGATGCCCTGCAGGGTTGGCATCGACACACGCTATGACAAGCGGCTGCCATGTCTGATACAGCACGTTTGTATTCAGCAGCGCTGCAGCATGTGCCCGATGCATTGGTGCGACAGATACGCCTGGCATGCTTTCGCGCCCATTTGCGAGGTCCAGCAAGCGCGCCGAGACAGCTCAGCTCAGCCGAGCTCGCTCGTCCAGCCAAGCTCGCTCACCCAATTCAAGCCCCTGTCCCCAAGCCCAGCTCACCGTATCCATGATATAAACGTGCACCCCACTGCCGGTGGCGGCATATTCGTAGCGCCCATCCAGCGGCAGCGACAGCTGGTCCAGGCGGTCGAGGCCCCACAGCTTGGCGTTGGGCGTGTCGCCGCCCACCTGCTCCGTTGCGGCCAGCCCGCGGCGGCGGCGGCTGCCCTCGCCCCGCAGGTCCACGGCGCCGGCACGTGCTCCCCGCAGTGACACATGTCCGTCCAGCGCCACGCTCCGCAGCTGGTGGGCATAGGCCTCAAGGAAGCGCGCCAGCTGGCGGCGACTGAAGCGCGCGGCAAAGCCGTGCAGCGCCGAGGCGTAGCGGTGCGTGCAGCTGGCGTTGAAGCGGCCGGAGCGTGGCGTGGCGCCCTCGGTGCAGGCTGTGCCGCTCAGGTCGGTGCCGCCCTGCTGCTGCTCCTGGCCCTGCCCTGCTCGCCGCCACACCGCAATCCAGTGCTCGGTGGGCTCCCTGGCCGCTGCTGCGGCGCTGGCGCCGTCATCCAGCGACTGGGCCGTCAGCTCTGCCCCACCCGCCGTGGGGCTGCAGCTCCCCAAAATGGCCACACGCAGCGCCAGATGCTGCAGCTCGGGTAGCTGGCTGCACGGCACCGTGCTCGCCGCACCCGCACCTCCGCCACCGCCAGCATCTCCCAGGTCCACCGCCGCCTGCGCGCCACCCAGCACTGATAGCAGAGCCATCAGGCCGGCCAACAGCCTCTGCCGGCAGACACGCGTGTTTCCGACTCGCATTGGCGTTCAGTTGCAAGAGATCTATACACGCGAGCTTGTTGCAGCCTCGGAGGGCTCCTGATGGTGGCGGATGCCGCTCTAGGATGGAAAGCGGGACCGCCCACCGCAGCAGGCGCAATGGGGTGGCAGGTAGGTAGTGTGGTGGCTCTCCAGCCACTACCGGCGCAGTGCAGATGCACGGACAGGGATTTCCATGTGCCCCCGAACGCGAGTAAACAACGCAACAGGCAACAACGGCGCAACAGAAAGCAGAGTCGCCAGCTCAGCGCACGGGCGCCGGCGCTCCCTGCACCAATGCCCGCCAGAAGAAGCTTACAAACAGCAATAGGCAGCAGGTGGCGACTGGCAGGATAAAAACACCATCCAGATCATTAAACTAGAAATACCGCCCTCGCGTCTTCTTGGGCAGGCCGTCCCGCTCGTCGCCCTCGCCGCTACGCCGCTGCTTTTTGCCTCTTTGGCTGCCGTCCCCATGTTGCCCATGCTTCTTGTGGTGATGGCCGCGCTGCTGCTGCTGGCCGTCAGGCCGCTGCTGCCGCTGCTGCCCGAGGCTAACCGCCATGCCCTCATCCGACACTGACTTGCCCCCCGGGTTGGCCGCCTCTGCTGCCGCCGCTGTGGCCTGCCGCTCCCCCTCTGCCGCCTCTGCTTGCAGCTGGTCCGTCTGGGCATTGAAGCCAAAGCTCATGCGACCCACTGCGCCGACGCTGCTGGCGCCACCGCCGGGCGGCGGGTCGCCCTCGGCAATCACTACGCATCGCGTGCGCGCCCCCTCCACCACCCAGTGTGCCTGCAGGGAAGGGCAGTGGGTGTGGGGACGAGGTAAGGCCCAGGAGCACACGCGCACGCCACGGCCCTGGCGGCGCGCCGCCGCTCGTGCCGGTGTAGCCTCCCGCACCTCTGCGTCCTCCTGCTGTGCCTGCTCCTCCTCCTGCTGCTTCTGCGCCTTCTGCATGAATTTCAAGCCTTTGAGCCTGCTGCTGAGTTGCGCCATGGCGGGTTGTGGCCGGCTGGACGGCGAGCCGGCCACGCGGTTTACAGTTGTTTAAGCGAAGATGTGCAGAGATGGTCGCGAAGTGTGGCTCTTGCAACATGCATGCAGCAGGCCAGGAAAAACGGGGCATGCCCAGCTGGCATGTTTGGCGCGCGCCATGGCGGCTTGATCAGATGCCTCGACTTCCATCATCAGCATCTCACAAGCTGTGCAGCAGCAGGCACTGTCTCCATCGATAGCTCATCCGCCGCCTTGCTCTTGCACCGTCTCGACCGCGGCGCCGCTTTCTCGCAACATGGACCGCACGCACTGAGGACCCATCATGTCAGAGAGCAGGAGGCTGGCCAAGGCGGCCTCCACAGGTGCAGGTGGGTGGGGCCTGGCGCCTGCGCACCCCCTGTTAAGCGTTCAATTAGGTGGAGGCGGGCCGGCGTTCGTGCAAGCTGGCGTTCGCGAACGCTGGCGCCCTGCCATCCCATGCAGACGTGGGGAGCCGCCGGCAGAACAAGATGAAGCAGGTGTACCGTTTGCTGCGGCAGGGGGACATTGGGGAGTCTCTGGCCAGCAAGACGGTGCGTGGAGCGGCCCTACCGCCGCCACCGTGGCGTTGGCGGCGGCGGCGCCGACAGCACCACCCGGCCTCACTGTGTAACACGCGCGATGCCCTTCTGTTGCCACCAAGCACATGTGTGGATTCCAGGAGGGCAGAATGTGCGGTAGATGCAGCAGGGCCAGCCTACAGCGTCACCGGCCTTGCCTCTTTGGCGGGCAATGCCTGCAGGTCTATGTGCTGTGGCCAGATGATGGCACGTGGTACAAGGGCCGGGTCACGAGTTGCGATATCGAGAACGCGAAAGCGACCATTTATTACGACGAAACAGAGGAGACGGAAGAGTGTGACCTGAAGGAGCTGATAAGGGACGGCCAGATTGCGTTCAGTGAGTGAACCCCGCGACACACGGTCCTGCATGCAGTAGCCGGATTGCGGTGTGTATTGTTGGCAGGCGCCCTGCTGACGGTTGGTGCCTCTACCGCCTGCACTCCGCAGAGGAGCCGCGCCCCGTGGGTCACAAGTGCAAGAGCGGCGAGATTGGGCTGGACCAGCGCTACTACGGGCGCAAGCCTGGTGACGCAGCGCTGGAGGACAGCGACAGCGGCAGCAAGGGCGGCGAGGGCGAGGGCAGTGAGGAGGAGGCGGATGCCGGCGCCGTGCAGGACAGCGACTCTGGTGAGCGCACAGGCCGAGCCCGCTGCGCTCCTGCCCCTGGCACAGGCGGCCAGGGCTGCCGCCAGCTGCTGCCGAGGTGGCTGGAACGGGCGGTTGGCAGCGCTGGCAGGGGGCACGCAGCAGCCGCAGGACGCGCTGCTGTGCCTCCCACCTCCCTGCACCTCTCCTGCCACCTGCCTTACCCGTGCAGATGTGTCCTTCTCCTCCGGGGAGCTGGCAGGGCGCAAGCGCAAGCGCGGCGCCGAGGACTCCGATGACGAGGTGCACCTGGAGGACTTTGAGAAGCGGGAGATCATGCGGGTGGGTGATGGCAGCAGGAGAATGTGGGACGGGTGGACAGGTGGGGGCAGATGGTGGCACGAAGTACGAGGCGTACTGGCCGCTGCTCTGCTGCAGCACCGAGTCGCGCGCCAGCAGCGCCGCTGTCCTGTACGCCCTGCCCTTGCTGCTGCGCCTCACCGGTGCTGGCTGTGTGGGCGTCTGCGTGCTGTGCAGGACATGAGCGACGACGAAAAGCCGCTGGGGTTCCGTGCCGATGAGCTGGAGCGCAAACAGAAGAGGCAGCAGGCGCAGCAGAAGCGCCAGCAAGCGCCAGGGTCAGGCAGCGCCAAGAGCGCGGCTCCAGCATTGGCAGGTGGCGCGGCAGCGGCACCCAAGAAGGCGGCCGCGGAACAGCCCGTTCCTCGGCGGCGGCGAGAGGCGGCGGCGGGTGTGGCGGCTGCCGTGCAGGCCGTGGCGGCTGTGCAGGCCGCAGCGGCGGCGGACGGTGAGCCTGGCGGACGGACCTGCCTGGACCCTGCTGCAAGTGCGTGCATCCGTCCTGCATCCTGCACTGCCCGGGTCGCCTGCCTTTTGTGTAGACCTGCTGCCGCCTGCCTTGCCTGCAGCATCATCAGACGAGGAGCCCGCCTCAGCGCGCAAGCACCGCCAACGGCAGCAGGCGGTGGCAGGCGCAATGGACGAGGATGATGAGGAGGCGGAGGCAGAGGCGTTTGCGCGCAATTTGCTGGCCCGCGTGACGGGGAATGCGGCGGGGCACAGGGAGGCGGGGTCGACAGCGTTCTATGGGCGGCAGGGTTCTGGGGGGCGCGAGCTGGGCCGACGCATGTCGACAGGGCAGAACGAGGAGGAGCTCCGGCAAAAGGTGGGTGTAAGGTGTGGGCGGGGCCAGCGGGAATTGTTGGTGGGGGCAGCACAGCGTTCATAATGATGGGTTGTGTTGCGATGGGGCGCCCAGCGTTGGGGGCTGCTATGCCTGGGGGCTACTATGCCCCGGCAGGCTGGCAGCCATGCATCTGCAGCAGGCCCGCTGCCCACCGTTGCCCTTTTGCCTGCGGCATTCCCTGCAGGTGCGTGGCGGCATCCAGCAAGCGCTGGAGTTGGTGGCCACGGAGGCGGCGGGCGAGGCCGGCAGGCTACCAGAGCCCGCGCCAACGGCAGAGGCTGTGGAGGCCGCCCTGTTCAAGCTGTATGGTGAGCTGCCAGTGGGGGTCTAGATCCTGTGGCTTGCCCAGGCAGGCATACAGCCTGCGGCTGCAGGCGTCCACGCTGACCCCCGCATCCACTGCCCCACCACACTCTCTGCTGCCCTTCCTCCACCACCACCAACCCCACCCGCCCTCCTGCAGGTGGCACCACCAAGGACTACAAGCAGAAGTTTCGCACCCTGCAATTCAATCTCAAGGTAAGCCTGCACCTCATGCTGCTGGTACTTCTGTGTCTCTGCAATTCCGCTTCAGGCAGCTTGTTGCCAACTGTGCTGGCGGGCTCAGGAGCGATTTCCCAACCGCCTCACGCTTCCCCACAAGCGCAGGATGCCCACAACCCGGACCTGCGGGCCCACGTGTTGCGCGGAGACATTGCCCCCGATGCTTTTGTGCGCATGACCGCCACTGAGCTGGCAAACAAGGTTTGTGACAACTGTCACGTGATGTATAACACACACATACACACACACATGTGGTGGTTGGGGGGATTTGGCTTGTGAACGGGCTAGGCTTGGGGAAGTAGAGACAGCCCATGGTGAGGTCGGTTGTTGTCGCTGTTGCCCTGTTGTCCTGCGTGCCTCTTCATCTGCCCTTGCTGCTGGTGGCGGCATACCGCAGGAGCTGGCGGCATACCGCAAGGCCAAGGAGGAGGAGGCACTGAAGATGTCGGTGCTGGATGCTGAGGCAGCAGCCAAGTTCTCCACTGCTGCTGCGCTGGATGCACGGGACAAGCTGGCCATCCCTGCCTCAAGTGGGTGTGGGGGTTAAGGCGACTGCGGCCTACTTTGCATTTGGTGATGCAAACACGGTGCATGGCTGCTCAGGCCCCGAAAGTCGGCGATTGCTTCCCTCAGCAACACGCGCCTATTGCTCTGCCTACTGCAGTGATGGCAGACAACGGCATGTTGGCCGCACGGGAGCCCACGCCCGAGCCGGCGGCCCACAGCAAGCGCAGCCCCTCTCCAGGAGCGGGTGCCGCTTCTGCGGCCGCGGCTGACAGCGCGCCAGCGGCGTCGCCGCGAGGGGCCCAGCAGTCGACACTGCTGGGGGCTGGGGCGTCTGGGCCGCTGGGCAAGGTGGATGGCGGGGAGGGCAGCGAGTACCGTGTGTCGGATTCGATGGATGCTGAGCTGGCGCCAGCTGGCGGTGATGAAGAGTATGACCCAGAAACCGCTTTCGCGGAAGATGATGCCAAGCCCGCAGCAGCAGCGGCACCGGCGCTGGACTGGGCCGCCATTAAGGCTGCGGCGGCATCAGCGACGGCGGAGGAGCGGCAGAGCGGCATGCAGCTGCTTGGGTCGCTTGACTCGCTGCACGCTGGCTCCAAGCAGGAGGGGGCAGAGGGCAAGCACGAACACAAGCTCAAGCACCACCACCACCGGCGGGAGCATGCCTCGCCCCTAGAGCTGCCGTCGCCGCGAGAGGTGAGGAGGGCGCAGCATGTCTCTGCTGAAGTCACCTCGCCACCCTTCCTCTGGCGAGGAGGCCTTTGCTATGCTACTGGCGCCTGCCTAACCTAATGTATCACACTTGTCCTGTGCTGCCTTGCAGTTGGGCGATCAGCCGCTGCCTAGCCCTGTGGATCCCGGGTCGCCCCACTCCCTGCGCTACCTGCTGCTGCCCGCCGTGGACCCGTCCTGCCTGTTTGGCAAGGGTGCGTGCTGCTTTTCGCCTGGGCAGCCTTGCTGGGTGTGAAGCATGGACTGCTAAGAGGCTTCCTTCTTGTGGAGTGCACTTTAAAGAGATGAGATGCCAGCTATTCTAATCTCCAAGGCCGCACCTCCATGTCTTCCTACCACCATTATATCCCCATGCCCTTCTGCATTCTTGCAGGCGTGTGGGAGGGGCAGTTCTTTGTGCCAGGCGTGGGTGCCTTCCTGCTGACTGCCGACGCGTTGGCCGGGTCTGGTGACGTGGCGGCACTGCTGGGGGACCGGGAGGTGGGTAGTGGCCACTGGCCGCGGCTTTACTGTGATCTTTTGAGGTGCTTGCGTGTGCATCTGGGCAGCCCAAACCCCTACCCAGCAACAGCAAGGGTGTACATTTGAGTCGATCGCGCATATGTGGAGACGTAGTGAAGCGGAGCTGAGCAGTGCCGGGCATTGGCTGACCTGCCTGTGCCTGTGCACTGCTTGCAGATCGAGGTGAAGGGTCGACTGGCGCTGCAGAAGCTGGACAACTTCCTGACTGACCTGCGCCATTCACGCAGCAGGACCGGTGAGCGGACCAGCGCGTGGCAAGTACCTGCCATGCATGGGTGTGCAGCGCACTCCTGAGCTGCACACGCTGCTGCAAGCGCCCTGCATTGGCAGCTTTCCCAGGGCCCTATTGCCTACAATGTGCAGAGCTCTGTTGGCTGACCGTTCCTTTTTCCTCTACTGCTGGCGCTTGGCTGTTTGCTGCAGTGACGCTGGGGCTCCTGTCCCCTGCTGACGACTGCCAGCCTGAGGAGCGATCGGCCTTGCAGGAGGTGCGTGCTGGTTCCCAGCTGGTAGTTTATCATTGCTTGCCAGCATGCCATGTGGTACATTATATGGTGCCCGCATGGTTTCCTCTGAATTTCACACCTCACCTGCTGCCTGCAGCTGATCGGCCAGTACAGCGCTCGCGGCCGCACCGGGGTTGCCACCCCGTCTCGGGATGTGGAGGCGTACCTGCTCCCCGCGTGTGGCATCGCCGATCGCCTGTTGACTGCCACACATAGTGCAGGAGGCTCGCAGGTGCGGTGTAGCGGCGTTGACTTCGGAACGTGCCCGCCAGCCACTGTTTTCACAGCACCTGTGCTGACCTCGCTGTGTGGTTGTGCACTTTTTGTCTATTGTGAAGGTGGAGGCACTGCTCCCCGGCGGCAGTAACCAGATCGGGCCACACCAGCTGCTGCTGGTGATCATCCACCGACGGGTGAGCGGCGCGCCAGTGGTCCTGATGCCAGCTGGCTGCTCTCAGGAGCAACCTGCAACCTTTATCGGGGCTGGCTGACCACACTCCCTGCTAACCAGCCAGGTGCTATGGTCGTGCAGGACTGGCGACCTCCCTATGACTTTGTACGCCCTGTCAAGCGGCCGCGTGTGCACCCGCCGCCTGGAGCGGCAGCGGCTGAGCCAGCACCAGGAGCCGGCGAGGCAGCACCTGGAGTCTCAGCACCGGTGCTGCCGCCACCGCCAGTGCTGCCTGGCATGCAGCCACAGCAGCAGCAGCAGCAGCAGGATGGTGCAGCGGCAGCGCCAGCACCACCTGTTGCACTGCCTGAAGGGCTCGATTTTGGAGCAATCAGTGCTCTGGCCGCTGCCCTGGGTGTGGGCCCAGCTGCACCTGAGCAGCAGCAGCCATTGTCGGGCCCAATGGATCGGGCGCCACCGCAGGCCGCGCCGTCACTCCAGATGGATCAGCTGCAGCAGCTGCTGGCAAGCCTGCCGCCCGCTGCTGTGGTTCCGGGAGCTGCCGCGGGCGTGCCTGACGCGGGCGCACAGCATGCAGAGGGCAGGCAGCGGCGGTCGCGGTGGGAGGGCTCAGAAGAACAGCAACAGCAGGGCCAGGGTTTGCCACAACGTCTGCCACAGCAGGAGCAGGATGCACAGCTGCAGCAGGCGAAAAAGCGGCGGTCTCGCTGGGAGGGCTCTGAGGAGGAGGGCGGCAAGGAGCCGCCGGAGCAGCTGGCATCCTCTGTTGCCCCGCCTCCTGCTTCCACAGCGCCAGCCCCCGGGCCCATGGGTCCCATGCAGCGGGCAGGAGCCCTGCAGCAGCCGGGCATGAGCCAGCCTCCGCCCCCACAGCAGCAGCAACAGCAGTATGTGCTGCCCCACGGCATGCAGCCCTACCAGCCGCAGCTGAATGCCCCGGAAGGGCAACAGCAGCAGTATGGCATGCCACCTCAGCCGCAGTTCGACATGCGGGGACCACAATTCCAGCAGCAGCAAGCAGGCATGATGCCACCGCGCCACACCGGCGGCTTCTCCGCCAGCAGCGGCCCTCCCCAGCAGTCGCTGCCCATGGCATCTCAATACCCTGCGGCAGGCGGACCGCAGCAGCCTCCTCAGGAAGGCTTCCCTCCGCCAGCTGGCCCACCCATGTATCACCCACAGCAGCAGTTTGGCGGCGGTCCGCCTCAGCAACAGTATGGCGAGGGCGGCTTTGGGGGCCGGGGCGGGAGGATGGGCGGCCGCTTTGGCGGCGGCGGCAAAGGACGCTGGGGTGGCCGAGACGGTGGCAGAGGGAGGGGAGGACGTGGCGGGCGGCCACGCTATGAGTGACTTGGGTGTTATGTGAACATTGCATCACTTGGTGATGCTGCACCTGTAAGGAGCCACCACACAAGGGCTGTCGAGCAACATCTGCTTGCCGCGACCTGCTCAGTTTACAGGTGGAGGACTAGTACACTCAGTGTTCACTCAATTGCGCGCAAGACTCTTTGCCGCAAGTGTAAGAGATTTGTGTACTGGGATAATTCGGTGATCAGTTGGTTGATTTGTGGCTAACCAGCACACAAACTCCAGGAACGGAACAGGACAGCAGAAAAGAAGGGGCCAGTGAAGGAATTGGGAGCTGGAATGAATGCAACAGGGGCTAAACTAGATAGCGGTCACACCGTGATACAACTTGGTTAATTGAATGTTGCTGACCTAAATTACTGGGAAACGAACAGCACGGCCCAAATGAAATGGGAACGAAACAAAGCCATTCAGCAAAGCAGCCTGGCGCAGCATGTAGCGTAGTTGTCAGTGCTTCTTGTAGGCGACCTGCCATCCTCAGCCTGTGAGGTCCTCATGCATTGATGGAGATCCTGCCATTGGCAGCACTGGGGATCATGTCGTAAAGCAGCTCGGTGGCATTCACCTGCCCGGGCCCGGCCTTGCCCAGGGTGGCGGGGCCGTGGGTGGCCTCCAGCTCGCGCAGGTTGGCCTCAATGGTGCGGGCAATGGTCTCCAGCGGCAGAATGGTGAAGGGCTCTTCAATGCTCACGCCAATCTCCTCAATGCCTGCAACCGGCGCGGTGATAGTATGCTCAACAAACTGCCAAGTGGGTGGTGGGTGGGGCGTCTCACGAGCTGGCTTCGAGTCAGCGGCATGCACTGCCAGGATACTTGGGCTGCTACCGCAGAAGCCGGCTGCTGCTGCTCACCCAGCAGCAGGAAGGAAACAATGAAGGTGATGGGCAGCATGGCCCAGCCGCAGTTGTCCCACAGAGTGAAGGGCAGCAGGGTCAGCCAGATCATCATGAAGCGAGAGGTGTGGCTGCAAAGCAGGGAGGCAAGGGAGCAGGGCAGGTGGGCGGGTGATGGCCAAGGTGGGCAACAAACCACGCAGGTCTGTGCCTCAACACGTGAGAAAGATGGGGCCCTCACCGGGTGTAGGACAAGGGCACGGGGGTGCGCAGGATGCGCTCGCAGCCACCAGTCACATCCGAGTATACGGTCAGGTTCTCATCCATGCGGTACGCAGCACCCGCAGGAACAGCGCCATAGCTGTCACGGTTGCTGGTGACGGCCGCCGGCAGCTGCGCCTGCTTGAGGCAAGCAGTCAGCACCTGGAGGAAACAAGAGTCGCAGGACGGCAGCAGTAAGCAGGAGCAACCATCAGCTGTGGGACCTTATATAATTTGCGCATGTATTTGCAGTGGCTGCCCACTAGCAGCCAGCCATGTCACCAGCACCACAATGCACCTGCATGCAGTAGTTGGGGCGGTGGGTGGAGGCAGCCAGGGCCTTGACCTCCTCTGGCTTCAGGATGTCCTTCACCTCCTCCTCAATGTTCTCGCCAGGGCGCAGGTGGCACATCAGCGCACGTCTGCAGCACGTCAGGAGCAGGGTGATTGAGAAACAGCGGGTGAGTTACAACACGTGCACAGGCCAGATAAGGCCAGGCCAGCAAGCCGTGAGAGCAGCCGCCAACTCACGGGTAGGCGATGCTCCAGCGGACCAGCATCGAGCGCAGCTCAGGCTGGGACTCAGGGACATAGCCCAGAGCCTGGCGGGTGAAGTCGCGGCTGCGGTTCACCATGGAGCCCCACATCTTGCGCGCCTCATCCCACCTCTGGTAGCTGGTGTTGGTGCTGCGATCAGATGGTGGGGGACAACACAGCAGGACGGGAGGAACTGAGTCGAGATGGGCTCGAAGAAAAGGGCTTGGCTCTTGGACTGGGGGAGCAGATTCACCGGCATCAATCAGAGCGGCGTGTTGGCCTGCTGAAGCAGCGCTCACCGGAACACCAGCAGCAGGGACAGGGCGAAGGAGGTGAGGCCGAAGGGCGCGTTGGTGGCCTTGAGGTCGGGCACATCAGTCAGGTAGCCAGCCTGCGGCAGACGGCACCAGGCGTGTCAAAACTCGGCAGCCTAACCAGTAAGTTGCTGCGTGGAAACAGGGTGGAAGCGGGTGGCAGCTCACCTCTGCCAGCGTGTGGTAGAGGGCCACGCCGGTGGCCAGAGTCATCACGTAGGCCAAGGGCTTGGCCAGGCCTTGCACCTGTGGCAGCCAGGGCAGCAAGCCATGGTGAAATTTGCAACACACAAAATTGCAGCAGGCTGTGGGTAAGACATGCAGATGCAATAGCAGCCAGGCCCTGCTCACAATCTTGGAGTCGAAAATGCCCAGCACGTGGCGCAGGTAACGGCTGGAGCTGCGATGGGTCTTCCAGCGCTCAAAGTCAAACACCTGTACAGCGGGATTTCTGGCAATCGAGTTAGACTGCAAGCGCATGCGACGCTGGAGATCGGGCAACACCGACGGTGCACTGCTGCATTATACACCAGTAGCATCAAACTCGGGGCGGGGAGGTGGAGAGGCCCTTAGCAGCCGACGCACCGGGCGCTGGAAGCGGCGGTTGTACTCCTTCCAGTCATCGCTGAAGTAGGGGTGCTCCGGCTCCGTCTTGTCGGTGCTGGCCACAGCCAAGGTGCGCAGGGCCGCCCGGCTGCACCGGCTGGTGGCGCAACGCTGGCGAAGGGCGGCCAGACCAGCGGGCTGGCAGTGCCGAAGCGTCGAGCCCCGCGCTTGGCGCTTGGCAGCCGGCGTGGCTGCCACTGCCACAGGCTGCACCCTGGCGCCGAGGAGGATGGCCATTGAGCGTGCAGGTGCTTGTGCAAGTGGGGGGAGATGGGGAGTGCTGTCCCTGTGAGGCAGCGCAGCCCGTCGACACGCCGGGGGATGGGTGATAGGCTGAGCGCAACTGCAATCGTGCGTGTTTGGGGCGATGCAATGCGCTTCAGGCTTCGCGAGGTGAAACCTCCCACGTCCAGCTTGGCAGAGATGCAGCGTCGCAAGGCTACCATCAGGGGTGGATGAATGGAGTCCCCCTACCCAGCACCATTCACTTGTACACCGTTGCACCCCCCGCGCGACGCCAGGCCCCATTGCAACCATGGCCAACCTGGTGCTCGGCACTGTGGCGATGCAGGCCCCTGCGGGTAGCAAGGCTACCAGTTATGCCGGCAGCAGCAGGCACCTGCGCTCCAAGGCGCACGGCCAGCTCAACAGCCGCCGGGCGGTGCAGGCGGCTTTCTGGGGTCGCAAGAAGGAGGCCGCCAAGACGGAGGCCGCCCCTCAGGCCGCAGGTGAATCAAGGGGGTGATCACAAACCGCGCAAGGGGCGAAGGCAGTTCGAGACGGGGAACCTCACTGGGCTTGGGCGCCCACTACCACAGCGCCGCAGCAGCGGTTTTGTACCCTGTTGATTTGGGCCTGCTTGCAGCCCCGTATGATCCCATGGGAATGGGGAGGCTCGCTGCTTGTTGTCTACCCTGCCCCTTGACTCTGCGGGCTTCCCAGCTCATCTTCCTGCCTCTACTGGCTGCAGAGCCCGCCGCCGCTGTCGCCGCCGCGGGTCCCATTGAGATCACCGTGGAGGGCAAGAGCCAGGTCATCGATGCTGGCGACAAGATGATCATTGTGGAGCCCTCAGGCACCATCATCATTGGCGGCCCCGAGGCCGTGGCGCGCGCGCAGGCGGCCGAGGCCGAGGCCGTGAGCGATGTGGCTGAGGTCGAGTACCTCACCGGGCGCGCCAACGCCGTGCAGAAGCACTTTGCCTCTGCCGTGGGCGCCGATGACTTCATGCAGCGCGTGGAGATGGCTCTGTACGCCTTTGGGTTCACCGGCGACAACTCCATCGGTGAGGACGGGTCGCACTGTCGGCATGCCTGCATTTCATCTCCAGATCTCTCGCTGTCTAGTTTCTGGGCAGCTCCCATTCCTCCTAGCTCAAACAATTTGTCCCCGTCCCTGCCGCGTAGCCATGGTGAACCTGTGTCGCGACGAGGTGACCCTGACCCTGAAGCACCGCATTGAGGAGACCTTTGGCTCCGCCTTCTCCACCAACGGCCTGGGCGGCGCACTGACCTGTGGCGTGACCGGCATGGGCGCCGGCTTCAGCCACTCTCCTCTGTGCAGCAGCAACAAGGAGCGCTATGTGTTCTTCTCGTTCCCGCACATCAGGTGGGCGCGGGGCAGCTGGCTTGGCGGGGACCTGCACCCTGCGCTCTTTCCCTGCTGTTTGCTGATCTCACCTCGCCTTCCCTCTTGCCTGCCTGCAGCATCAACTCTAAGGGCGAGGTGGGCCCCATGTCCCGCCCCGGCCGCCCCGGCCAGTCCTGCGCCTGCGGTGCCCTGATTAAGGCCACCAACGAGATCAAGAGCGAGGGCCTGACCTGCAACTGCAAGATCCCCGGCGGTGAGCCACACGGGCCACTGCATGCTGGCCCATCTTGATAGCCTTGCTTGCTGCTGTGTGGCAGCCTGACACATTCTCGTGGGATCAGCCGCTCACACAGCAGCTGCTACCCACCTTTACACCTGCAGTGCACGATGCTCTGGACCCAGAGATGAGCATCTTGAAGCAGCGCATTGCCCGCCGCCTGCGGCACGAGGGCTACAACGACAACTCTGTGAAGGACCTGACCCTGGGTGGGTGCCTGCTGTGGTGCGGGAATGCAGATGCTGCTCAGTTTGGCGCCCTGCCTGCCTGGAGCAACGGCCTGCCACTGCATCCAGCTGACTGATTGCCTGCTGCTAATCCTGCCCCACAGTGGATGTCACCAAGGTGGCTGAGCGCACCATCTCCGACGATCTGGAGTTCCTCATCTCCAAGACTGTCAACACCGACAAGGCCGATTACGCCGGTGAGTTGATGTGCAGCCTGGCGAGCAGCCCACGTGTTGTACAGCTGGCTGTGCCACGCAGCTGTGCCGACCAGAGTTCTTACGCCTCTCCCCGCTTCGCACTGCCCTCCTCTCCTCTCCTGCAGTCGTCACCGGCGTGCAGATCCACAACTGGGCATATGATTTTGAGGATGCCTCCCCCAACATGGAGTTTGTGGCACCCACCAGCGCCTACGTTGTGGTCGATGGCGTGAAGACCCACCTCGACTTGTCAGCCATCCCGGTGAGTCATGCCGCTTAGCATGCCAATGTTAAAGTGGCAAAGATGAAAACGGACCTGTTTGTACTATTGCTTGATTGGCCATCGCCGATCACTACTGATGAGCCACTCTTCTGTTGCCCGGTGCAGCCGCTGACCCCTCGCCAGATGCGCCTGGTGGCCGGCCCCGCTGACGTGGGCAACCAGGGGGGCCAAAACCTTTTGCGGCGAGGAGGGGCTCCTTTATGCTTTGAATTCAAGGATTCCACCCGGTGATCGGAGGGGGCGCTTTCACCGCTCCCTTTCGCTGTTGAAGGAGGAGAGCTTGGACGGCACTGGCGCTGGCACTGCTCCCGCATGGCAGTCAACGATTGTGAAGGGTACCCCTGAGCGCTGCGCCACCGCCGACAACTCCAACATCATTGACAGCAGCTTCGCCGAGGGTGAGATGGCCGGTGGCGCGCTGCCGGCCCTGTTGGTGCCGCGTCTGCAGGCCAGGTGGCTCATACATCCCGCTGCACTGCTTGCCTGCTGCAGATGCTGAGCTGCGCAAGGTGTGGGAAATGTTGGAGGAGAAGTACAAGCTGCCTGCCAAGAACTGAACACATGGGCTGCGGTGGCGAGAGAGCGAGGTCATCTAGAGTTTTCATACTAAGTAAACACATTGAATCACAGAGAACACCAATATTCATTTGATGGTCAGCTTGATTGCTTGATGAATGATATTTTCAGTCCTCGGTCTTTTGTTTAGCAGCGCCGTTTCGTGTGCACGTCTGCGTCTCCTAGTTATGGTTACATCCATAACAATTCTGCACCGATTTTCCAGGGTTCAGGCAGTGCACCATTTCCAAACGCGCGCTCTCTATTATGCTAACACCAGCAACACGCGACGCGGTAATGAATACCACTGACACCCTAGCAGACAAACTGGCTAGGCAGTTGCGTGATGAAGAGCTGCGGTTGGCGTGCATGGCAGCTTGTGCGCACTGGGCCTGTGCGAAGCGTCGCGCGTCTGCAGAAGGCAGCGCCGCGTCAGGCCAGCCATCGCTCTTTAGTCAGCCAGCCAGCCTGCGCCAGGCAGCACCAGGCGGTGTGGGGGAGGGCAGGCTGCAAGCAGTGAAGGGGTGGAGAGCAGGCACCTCACTTTTGCCAGGGTCTGCTGCTGTGAGCCTTCTGTTGTTGCTTAGCCACCCAAACACACCCGGGATTTTGAAAACTTGCGGGCGGCGGCGACAGCCACAGTGCAGTGCTGCGCCAGAAGGCCGTGTGGCGCGCGGCTGTGCACCGGCCCCAGCGGCGGCCAGACACGGGTGCAGCCAGCTGCCTGCAAGAACGGGGACACGGCCTGCTGGAAACCACTGATCAGTGATAACGATCAGTTGCATCATCGCAATATTTGCCGGTGTAAGAGACACACATGTCCTGCCAGGCGTGCTAGGCAAGCTGGGCGTGCTACGACTCTCAGGCTGCTCAGGCCGCGAACTCCCCATGCACGCCACTTTTTGTCCTGCTGATTTATTACCCGCTTGAACTAGCCGAAGCCATGCCCGCCGCAGCTTTGACCGCAGCGCAGGCGCGCGCCGATTGCGCCACCACCTTCAACTCGGCCCGCCGAGTGCGTAGGAGCGCCATGCCCATGCAGCTATTCTCCAGCCGCGGCGTGGTGAAGGCGGGGCGAGGGGCCGCCGTGCTGGTTCGGGCGGCCGCCGATGGTGAGCAAAACTGGGGAGCAGGGGGCCCTCAGCGCGTTGGGGACGCGCTGACGACGTGTGGCAGGGACTGTGGCAATGGTGTTGCAGCCTGACCCGCCAGGGATGGTGACCGCCAGCCGCCACTACCACCGCCCCTGACTACCCACGGAAGCCTCCGCGCCAGAATGTGGCCCCCTTGCCATTCTGGCACTGCGCCCTGATTCTCCTCCCGGGCCCTCCCCTGCCCTGCAGCCGAGATCAAGCAGTCGGTGATTGAGGCCAATGGCAAGATGATTGTGGTGGAGGCTGACGGCACCATCATCATCGGCGCCCCCGACGTCGTGGCCCGCGCTCAGGCTGCCAAGGACACTGCCGAGCCTGTGCCTGAGACGGTCGAGGTTGAGTACCTGACCGGTGAGCGGGTCGCTGGCAACTGAATCCAATAGACTTGGAAGCTGCTGGAGTGCTCCATGCATGCAATCAGCCATGCCACGTGCTTCGCCTTGCCCACACCCGTGACTCTTACCCTTTGGCACTGTTGCAGGGCGCGCCAACGCCGTGCAGAAGCACTTCGAGAGTGCCCTCGGCGCGGACGACTTCATGCAGCGCGTGGAGATGGCTCTGTACGCCTTTGGGTTCACCGGCGACAACTCCATCGGTGAGGACGGGTCGCACTGTCGGCATGCCTGCATTTCATCTCCAGATCTCTCGCTGTCTAGTTTCTGGGCAGCTTCTCCCATTCCTCCTAGCTCAAACAATTTGTCACCGTCCCTGCCGCGCAGCCATGGTGAACCTGTGTCGCGACGAGGTGACCCTGACCCTGAAGCACCGCATTGAGGAGACCTTTGGCTCCGCCTTCTCCACCAACGGCCTGGGCGGCGTGCTGACCTGCGGCGTGACTGGCATGGGCGCCGGCTTCAGCCACTCTCCTCTGTGCAGCAGCAACAAGGAGCGCTATGTGTTCTTCTCGTTCCCGCACATCAGGTGGGCGTGGGGCAGCTGGCTTGGCGGCAACGTGCATGCTCAGTCTTTCTGCTGCTGTTTTTCGCTGTAGCTGCCGCACCCTGACTTATCCTTCCCTCTTGCCTGCCTGCAGCATCAACGCCAGCGGCGAGGTGGGCCCCATGTCCCGTCCCGGCCGCCCCGGCCAGTCCTGCGCCTGCGGTGCCCTGATCAAGGCCACCAACGAGATCAAGAGCGAGGGCCTGACCTGCAACTGCAAAATCCCCGGCGGTGAGCCACAAGGGCCGACTGCATGCTGGCCCATCTTGATGCGCCTTGCTTGCTGCTGTGTGGCAGCCTGGCACATTCTCGTGGGATCAGCCGCTCACACAGCAGCTGCTACCCACCCTTTACACCTGCAGTGCATGATGCTGTGGACCCAGAGATGAGCATTCTGAAGCAGCGCATTGCCCGCCGCCTGAGGCACGAGGGCAACACCGACGAGTCTGTGAAGAACCTGTCCCTGGGTGGGTGCCACAGCATGGCTGTGTTGCACCCACCCACATGCTGTCCAGTTCAACGCCCAGCTGCCTGCCTCAGCATTTTGCGTATTCTCACGTGCTGACTGGTTGCTTCCCCACCTCTCTTCCCTCACAGTCGACATCACCAAGGTGGCTGAGCGCACCATCTCCGACGATCTGGAGTTCCTCATCTCCAAGACTGTCAACACCGACAAGGCCGATTACGCCGGTGAGTTGATGTGCAGCCTGGCGTGCAGCCCACGTGTTGTACAGCTGGCTGTGCCACGCAGCTGTGCCGACCAGAGTTCTTATGCCTCTCCCCGCTTTGCACTGCCCTCCTCTCCTCTGCTGCAGTCGTCACCGGCGTGCAGATCCACAACTGGGCCAACGACTTTGAGGATGCCTCCCCCAACATGGAGTTTGTGGCACCCACCAGCGCCTACGTCGTGGTCGATGGCGTGAAGACCCATCTCGACCTGACCGCCATGCCGGTGAGAAGCACGGGTTGCCAGTGTGTGCCCGTCAGCCTCTTTCCAGCTGCATCTGTTGTTGTTGAAAGAGGTCTGAAGGTGGCAAACTGTTTCCAACTCTTTTCTGCCTTGTGCACCCTGTTGCAGCCCCTGACCCCACGCCAGATGCGCCTGGTGGCCGGCCCCGCTGACGTGTGCAACCAGGGCGGCCAGACCATGCTGCGCGAGGAGGAGGCTCCGTATGCCTTTGACTCTAAGGACGCCCGCCGTGCCCAGAAGGCGCGCCTGCAGCGCTACCTGACGCTGATGAAGGAGGAGGGCCTGAAGGGCGAAGTGGCGGTCCCCAACTGGCGGTCCAAGATTGTCACCACCACCCCCGAGCGCTGCGCTTCTGCTGACAACTCCACCATCATCGACAGCAGCTTCGCCGCCGACCCCGAGCTGCTCAAGATCCGCAAGCAGCTGGAGGAGAAGTACAAGATGCGCGCCAACTAGCGCCACACAAGAACAGGCCTCGCGGCCAACCTCGTCACCATTGAATCAACCCTCCCAGCACTGACGCCCACGTTTGATCATTTTGTCTCCAGCCCTCTCTTCATGTTCAGCGATTTCATCAGGTTGCCCCTTGGCCTCCCTGACCTCAGTTATCATAGCGCCTCCAATTGAATTGCGGCTTGCCAACAGTACAAGTTGCCTCCCTCCGACAGTTCCCCTTGCTACATTTGAATCCCAATGCAATCTCTTTCCACATTCTGTGAGCACGCCATGGATCGCCACATAGGTGGAAAAGCGGAACATGCAAGGCCACGGGCATCCCGTACCTGCGCCCCCAACAGAGCCCAGACGAAAGATGGGGTATGGGTCACGCAACCCACGGCAGACACTGAAGTAACTCATTCTTGTACAAGTGGCGGCTAGTGCTGAAGGCGGCTGCTTCGCCGCGGCTGGGGCTTCTGCTCCTCCTCTTCCTCCTCCTGAGATCGCGCCTCCTGCTGGTCTTCGTCCTCTGCCGATGTCTCCTTGTCGCCTGCTTCGTCCTCCTCGCCACCCTCATCTACAGGTGAACAGCCCAGCGTGCGCAAAGTCGTGTTAAAGCACCGAGCCAACGCAGCCTGTGCTGTTCATCGCACCGCGCCCCTCGCGCTGTTCTGCCTTCTACCCCTCGCAAGTGCAGCACATGACGTTTGCAGCCACACACATACACACACACCTGCATCCTCCACGGGGTCCTCCTCTTCCTCCTCCTCATCATCATCATCATCATCGTCAACATCTTCGACAGCGGGGACACCCAGCCGCCGGCGCTTGGGCTTGGGTGACACAAACTTGGGTGGCCGCCCCACGCGCTTCTGCTTTCGCAGGTTATCGCAGATTTCAGCTTCCCGCATCTGCAGCCACAAGATTTGAGTGCATCAGATAGCGAGCAGCTGCCGAGCCCAGCACCGCTGCAATCTGTGTCCTGAGCGCAAGCACTCGTGTCACAATCAAATGGAGCGGCAATAAGAGCCCTCATCCGGCCCCCCAGCCAGAGTCAGAGCCACCCAGCCAGCAAGCTGCCTGTCCTGTCCTCACCTCGACCTCCTGCAGCGTCTGCGGCTCGATCTTATTTGTCTTCACCAGGTTGCGCCACCTGTGGGGAGGGCGAAGGCAGCGACAGCGGCAGCATTAGAGCAGTTGGCCACCAGGGCACAACACTGGCTGAACATGCCGCAGGCTGGGAGGGAGCAGCAGAGCACAGGCAGCAAGCCAAAGCAGGGGCCATCAGTTGCCAGCGCAGATAGAGGGCCAGCACACACTTGTCCTTCAGGTCCACCTGAAGCACATGGGGAGCGGCAGGCAGTCAGGCCAGCAGACACATTGGCATAAGCAACAATGCAAGCAAGAGGCATAAAGGATCACCACAAGAATGCGGCGCCCCAGGCGTGCGCTGCTCGCCCCTCTACCCACCGCCGTGCGGAGAGGGTCAAACACCCCTGCCCCCTTGTCTCTGATCTCGATCCAGCTGCCGCGGCCGAACAGCTTGACCAAATCAATCAGCTCCGTCTCCTCCTCAGCGGTCCAATTCAGTCGCTGCAAAAGAAAGGGCAGTGCTACCGTGTGTTCATTGTGGCCGACAGCGTGCAAGTCCACGCCCGGAGGTACTGCAAGCAGCGGCGCACCGGGCGACGGCGCTTGCCACCCTCTTGGTCCTCCTGCTCGTGCCCCTGCACAGCTGCAGCGCGCCGGCCTTGCTGTCGCCCTTGCTGCCTGGCGGGCGTCGGCTGCGCCAGTGGCACGTGCTGCTGGATCCTTGCAGGCTCCATCTCAGGCATGGGGTGCTGCGGCAGGGCGGAGGTGGGCCAGGCAGCATTCACTTGGCTGCCACCAGCAGAATATGAGCACCAGCCACCGCTTGTCCGCACCTGCACCGCTGGGCTTTCGGTCCACCGCATGTGCCGCCCAGGAGGCACACCACCCGCTGCTGCTACAGCGGCGGCAGCGTGCTGGAGCATCTCCGGCAGTGGGTCCTGGCCGCCCTGCTGCTCCAGATCGGCCAGCCCCACACCCAGGTCCTGCAACGCTGCCGCCCCTCTACAGCAAGTGGCACAGCGGCAGGTGATGGGCCCAACGAAGCACAGCTAAGATGTCTGTGTGAGCAGTACGGGCAGCAGGAGGAGGGCTCCACTACACTCGTAAACCTGCCCAGCTCACCCACGGCTGGCACTCCTGGGCCCTGCCGCCTGCTCGTGGCGTGGTGAAGCGTAACCCTCATCATCTCCACCCATCGGAGGAAGCAAGTCCTCCTCGTATGATGCCGGCGGCGGCGGCAGTGGAGAGCGTGCAGGCGCTGCTCCCCGCCACGCTGTAACTGCCTGCCGTCCAAGGGGCGAAGCCAGGGCGGTTGCCAGGCGGCGGGGGCCTGGGCTCACTGCTGGCACAGCAGCAGCGGACCGCTTGGCGCCGACGCCAATCTCGTAGCGCCCAACTTGTACGTCATCTTGGATGGCCTGCGGCAGGCAGCAATCGCATTCACAGTCAGCTACTGCGGCTGGGAGAGTGGAAATACAAACTCGTCAGGGGCCAACTCTCTCATCACCCCCAAAGCCAAGCATCTCCTCCTACCCCGGCGGCCAGCTGCCTGCCCGGCCCTCACCAGCAGCAGGGAGCGTGGCATCGCCACGAGCGCCTTGTGCACAAAGTAGGTGGCCGAGCCCATTGAGCGCTGGAAGGGGAACTGCTCATTTAAAGCCGCAGCCAGCACAGGACTGCGCAGCGCGGCCCTGAGCTGGTCGTACCTGCGAGGTGAAGGAAGGCAGGCAGACAGGGAGCGTGGGCAAGGGCTAAGCATTGTGGGCAAGGGCAGGCGGTGAGGGCAGTGGCAGGCAGGCAGGGCCCGGCTCCCACCTGGTGTACGACTCTTGCGTGTTGTTCCCTGCAAACAGCCTGTTCAGCACCACCTCTGCCTCCTCCACTGGCAGCTTGAGGTCCCGCCACGTCTGGATGCCCAGCTCAGTCTTCACCTGTGGGCCCAGGAGGGCCGGGACATCAGGGTTGGAGGCTGAGGCACAGACACGACATTGTCGACTCCCCAGCAGAGCAGCCTGCCTGCAGGCTCTACCTACCCCCCCCCCATTCCTCACCAAGAGGATGAGCTCCGGTGAGGGCCAGACGACGGCTGTATTGGCCACCGCGGCCACGTCGCAGCCCGCCAGCTTCTGCAGGTAGCTTAGCACAGCCTCGTCCATGCGTCCCGCTGCCAGCTCCGCATCCAGCAGGCGCAGGCACAGCTTGGCGCGCGTCACGTCTGGCAGGTCCTCGGCGCTGCCCACCACCGACGGCAGCAGGCTGGCGAGGACGGTCATGGACAGCTCCTCCTTGTCCAAGTCCAGCAGCCGGTCCAGTGCCCATACCAGTGTGTTGTCCTCCTGGCCGCCGGCCTCCATGACAGCAGCGACGCAGGCGGAGCGGGCGGAACCTGCAGCCTGCGGCCAAGGACGAGTGGCGGCTCAGACGCAGGCGGGGCAGGCGCGCGCTAGCTGCGCTGACAGCTGCAGCCCAGCCCGGAGCGCCCGGCCCGGCGCAGGGCCAAGCGGCAGCACACTGGCAGCGTTTCAAGGCGCACTTGCCGTTGGGGCCGAAGTCGAGTTGCGGCCAGGGCGCGTGAGGTCTCACAGATGTTGCAAGCAGTCACAAGACGGTCGCAGGGTCTGAACCGGCTGATTTCGGAAGCAAAAAATGCAGCCAACCAGGCTCAGCACGGCGCAGCACGTCTCTCAACAAAAATTTGCAACAGCAGCAGTAGGCCGCAGCCCACGCATGAAAGCCTATGTATGAAAGCTCCAAACGGCGGGCACAAGGGAAGAGGCCGCCGCTTGGAACCATCTGTTGGTGCCGCCGCCGCCGCTGCGCCACTTGCCTCACGGTTTATGGAATTTATTCGCGGCCACAATCTGCTGCCTCTGAGCACAGATCCGGGTATCACATGGGGGGCAACCGCGGGCAGTAGAGCGGGACGGCGTCGGCCGACGCTCGTGGGAGGAGGTGGTGCCACCCAGTGGGAAATGGGCATCACGCAGGGATACATGAGCATACACGCAGGGAGGAAAATAACAGTTCAGGAAGTGCGCATTAGATCAAAAGGGAGTCGCGTCTGCGAGGCAGACGGTCGATCAAATGGTTAATGAAGAGGGAACCGAACAAGAGTCCGGAAATGGCTGGCTGCAGGGCTGGGCATTGGGAGCCCAGCGAGCAAGGGGGATCAGGCCTGCACCGCCAGCACAGCTGTGGATAACTCGGCATCCTCCGTATCGCTCTGCTGCTCCGAGTCCAGCACAGAACCCACCTCGCTGCGGCGCCGCATGCTTTCAGGCACCAGCCCTGCCGGGATCTCACCCATGGTGCTGCTGTTGCCGCTGCCACGGCCCCTTCCATGCCATTTCCGCCGGTCCCGGTGCCGCTGCCGCCGTTGCGGCAGTCCTAGCGTGCTGAGCACGTCGCCATTGGCACTCACATCAGCCGCCGCCTGCTGACCGCTGCCACCATCCGCAACAATCTGCTCGCCACAGGTGCTGCTGCCACCGGCATTGCGCCTTCTGGCACGTCGCTGTGGTACCTCCTCTGCCTCCTCCTCCTCGCCATACTCGCTGTTGCTGCTGCTGCAGGAGCAACTTGTGCTGCCGCCGCCCTCGTCGCTGCTTGACTGCACACACAACAGACGGTGGCCAAAAAGAGGCAGCAACTGATGTCCGCTTATTGGCATAGCAAAGCTCCTTGCTCCTTGCTACAGGTAGCAAGCACAAGAGCCTGCAAGCGTGGATCCCGCGCCATCTCTGCCTGCCCGCCCACCATCCACACCTGGCTCTCACTGCCATAAAAGCTGCGGTTGTCTCCTTCATAGTCGTGATGCGCAACCTCTGGCTTGCCGGAAGCATCACCCGGCCGCGCCAGCGCAATGGACGACGCGCGCCCTGAGGCGACCAGCCTCAAGTGCTCATCCGCCGGCGCATCAGACAGCGGTGCTACATTGAACAAGGGACGGGGTTGGCTCAGTGCATGCTTCCACAAAAGGCCCCCTTGCTGCTGCTGCCGCATTGTTGTCAACAGCAGGTCACATTCTGTCAGGGGACCAGATGGAGCTGGCTGTGCAGCAACTGGCTTCTCCTCACCATGGGGCGTCGACGTCTCCCGTGTGGTGGTGGAGGCGGCCTCCGAGGGGCTGGGGGGCTGGCCTGCTGCCGACTTGCGGCGAATCAGGTCCAGCATATCGCTGGAGCTCCAGGTGGCTGCTAGACAGGAAAGTGCGGCATGGCATCACACGTCACAATGCAGCACAGCTGAGAATCAGGCGGCAGGCAAGTGATGGGGAGACGCAGGTGGGTGGCACGAGCACCAATGCCCCTGCCACCACCGCCACACGCTCGCCACGCACCTGACTGGCAGCGCAGATACTCTTCCAGCAGCAGCTTGCAGCTCAGTGAGGAGCCGCTCAGCATGCTCTCCCCCTGCACTCAGCCCATACCGCCCAGCCAAGCAGTCAGGCAGCAGAATGAACACAGGCCAGGGCGAGCTCGGCATGCTGGATGTCGCCCCTACGGCCCCCTCCCGCCGTCCACACTCACCCGTGCAGTGCGGCGCAGGCAGCCCAGCACAGTGGTGTGGATGGTGGCCACTGAGCGATCCACATTTGTGTTGTCCACTTTGGGGATGGCATGTTTTTCAGCTGCAAGTGGCAAGGGGATAAGTAGTGTACCCCATGTAGGGTAGAAGGAGAATGAAGGCAGCAGGCCAATCCCGGCACACCACACATGCGCCCACACCCCAGGCACCCCTGCACCAGCTCCCCCAACCCACCACTCTTCACCAGGTAGTCCTGGATGGCACGGATGTTGCGGAAGTACTTGACATACCGGTTGCCTGCACGCCGACAGAAAGCCAATCGGGAAGGGGATCAAGGGGGCCAAACCCTCACAAGGTGGCTGCAGAAGGCAGCGTAGCCGCCCCGACGCTGCGAATCGCTCCTGCTCTCATGATAACATGCGCGCCGCTCAGCCAAAGCCAAGCCAAAACACTCCCAGGCATCGTCCTGGCGGCCTACAGGCTGGAGTGCACCCCGCCCAGCCTCACCATCTGGGCGCAGCGTCATGACCTTGGACCGCACAGCAAACCGCTCCATATGCTTGGCCTCGTTAGAAATATGGACCAGGAAAGGGACCACGCTGGGGTGCCGCTGCATCATGCGCACAACCATGCTGAGGCTCAGGTGCACGCCTTCCACCACCAGCGATTGCCGCCGCGCCTCGCAGCCCGCCAGCAGACGATCAACGTGCTCCAGCACCCGAGCGCTCTGCGCCTTATACCCCCGAATCGCGGCCTTGCGCGGGTCAGCTGTGCTGCTGCCGCTTGTCAACAGCTGGTGGTAGGGTAGCTGATGGGTCGGCAGCGCGGAGGACGCTGGCGCTGCTTGCGGCTGCCGCGGCTGCTGTGCCTGTGCCGCATTGACGGGCGCCTGCAAGTGTAAACCGGCCTCGTAGGTGGACGCCCACAGCAGCGGATCTTCTGCCTCGCTGCTGAAGCTGCAGAACGGACAGGCAGGAATCGGCAGGATTTGGTGGGGCAGGCAGGTGGCAGGTGCTCCATCGGCAGCGCAACAAGCGGCAGTAGCAAGCAAGCTCAGCTGGCGATGCTGTCATGATATGGTCTGTTTAAGGTCTGCACGAGGATGTTGCCAGCGACTCTCCTGCCCTCCTTCAAGGCCACAAGTCCAGCTGCTAAAACATACTGCATCCCACCACACCAGTGCACGCACCTGCGCATCATGTGGCGGATGGAGTCGGTGGACACAACCGTGGAGATGCCCAGCCGTGCCGCCAGCAGCGCCGCCAGAGTCGACTTGCCGGTGCCGCTGGTGCCGCACAGCAGCACCGCCACCGAGGCGCGCTGCTCGCGAAGCGCGCAGGCGATGCGAAAGTCGCCGACAGCTGCTGCCGCGGTGGCGGCAATTACGGCGGCAGAGGCACCGGCTGGGGCGCCCAGCAGCACATCATGCTGCCGTTGCACGCCGCCATCGGCAGGTGGCTGCTGGAGCGCGGGATCTGAAGCAGCGGGCACCGGCAGTGGTGCGGCTGCCGAATCCGCTACTGGTGGCACCTGCTGCTGCGGCTGCGGCTGCTGCTGGTCGGAGGCGGCCAGGCAGTCCATGACAAGCCGGTCAAACTCGAGTCGGGCGAGCGCGACGCCAGCGTGCCCGCCGGCCGCTGTGTGGAGGCGGCCTGCCAGGCTGAGCGGCTCACTGGGCGGCAGCGCGGCGCGCTGCTGCAGGATGAGGAACACCTTGTGGGCGGCCTTGTCGCTCTGGCGCGGCTTGGCGCCCACGAGCTGCAGCGTCTGGCGGAGCAGGCTGTGGGTGTAGCGAGCCGCTCCCGCCACCAACACAGCGGGCGCAGGTGGCGCCGGGCCAGCGCTGGCCGGCTCCTCGGCGCCTTCTGGAGCCACCAGCAAATACGAGAGCTCCTGCACCGGCATGTTCTTGGCGTGGGTCCGCTAGAAGAGAGCCTGTGCAGCGGGCTCGCCGGTTGGGCGCCTATTCATGGCGTCAGCGGGGAGGTTGGAGAGGCGGGTAACGGTGGAGAAGCCAAGGCCAACCATTTCATCCAGCTGGCGGCGCCGTGCGGCGTGGCACTGGAGCATTCCAGGCCAACTCTCGCCTGACACCAGTCTCATCCCTCGAATCTCCTAATTCACTCATTTTCTGCACTTGACCACCAAGGCTCTCTTGCTTGCTGAACCTGTTTGGTGTCCATCAGAGTCCTTGGCCAGTCCTGGTGTCCCCAATCCGCGGCTGGATAGAGGATAGCCACCGCTGCATCCAGGGATCTCGCGAAGGGCTGAGTGCGCAAGAACCAGCAGCTTTCAAACATGTTGACATCACCACAGCTTGAAGCCAGGGCCACCTGCTTCATTCCTGCAGGAGTCATGACGCCTCCCAAAAGCGCTCCAACACTCGCGCAGCCAACAGTGTTGATGCTGGCCGTGGTGCTTGCCGCCGCGGCGCTCCTGAACTGGCAGCTGGACCCAGACCGCTGGCACAAGGTTTTGACAGGCACCATTGCGCTGCGAGCAGGCGGTGCCTTTCAGCTCCGGTTGACACGCTCCCGGCAGGTGAGCAGCTGCACTGCTGCCTTGCTGCGGCAGGAGACAAGCCAGTGCAAGGCGGTGTGTAGGTGGCATTGCTCGCAGCCGACTGCACAACACCACCTACTTGGCTGCCTCCTACACAGGGCGCGTGCTACAACATCAACACTACCAGCTGGCAGCAAGATATCAGCATCGGCCGGTCTGGGCGGCGCGCTGTGGTCACCTTCTTGTTCAACTGATCATTCAGACGGTCAGCCGATGCAGCCGATGCAGCCAAGCATACTGGCAGTGGAGGCCAATCCCAGCTTTGAATCAATGCATGTTTTGCATCTGCAAAATCCCTGAGCTGTAGGCCATGTGGCCATGCGCTGCAGGTGTGCGGGCGCTGTACAATTCTTTCCGGTTCGTCGGCCCACCAGCCAACACCGACTTTGTGATTTTGTGCACCCAGGAGCTGGAGGAGGCGCACAGGCAGGAGCTGCGCAGCTGGGGCATCAAAGTGCTGGAGGTGGAGCACGTGCCGAATCCAGCAGGCGGTCTTGTTTGGACGCATCCGGCGTGTACAGGTTGGTGTGGAGCACCCTGTTGCAGTCTCTGCCGATTCCCTTCCCACGTGTTTATTCCCTTCTCACATGATGGTGCTGACCGGCTGCAGGCAAACAGTTCTGCTCGCTATTTGGCAAGTTTCGGGCCTGGCAGCTGACGCAGTACGACCGAGTGCTGTTGCTGGACACAGATGTGATTTTCCTGCGGCGGCTGGACAAGGTCTTTACCTGGTGCACTCCAGTCATGGCTTCAGACCTGCCGCCCTCAGACTTCAAGCCGGCAGGCATGTTCATCTCTACCGCTTGTCGCATTTGCACCTTCGTGTGCTGGATGGTGAGCGGCCCCCTGCTGCTGTGATGCAGGGATGCCACAAGGTGGAGCCATTCTGCTGACCCCCAACAACGACACGTTTGGGTGGCTCCTTAACCAAGTATCCCAGGACCCGGGCCTGCTGTCAGGCGTGGAAACACTGGTGATCGATCAGACGATTCTGGGCAGCGCCTTTGCTGACAAGTGGTTCGTAGCGGGCGCCGCCAACCAGCTCTGCACGGCCAGCCAACATGATAGCCCTTGCCCTGGGCGCTTACAGCGGCAGCCAGAGGCTGTCAGGTGCGGCGACAGCATGCGCTGCATGTGGCCCATGCCTACCCAGTGGTTCTTGGTTAGCGCCCACAGCCAGCCCGGTTGAACTGCGCTCAGCATCAGCGGGGGATCAGAAGTCAGTTTTCGCTGGTAGGCGCTGTCGACATGGCGTATCAGTCCTCCAGCACGCGGCAGACTCCATGCCTTGTTTACATGCCAGCATCAGCATGTTGCCTCCTGGATGCGTCCAATTGCTGGTGCAGGAATTTCCGGCCGCCGCTGCAGACCATCAAGCGCGGCCTGGAGGGCAAGAGCAAGCAGGAGGCTGTGGAGACGCTGGACGATCTGGGATCCTTCCTGCTGCACTTTGTGGGCAGCAACAAGCCATGGCTCAATAAGACGGAAGAGGACAGGGTTTATGCAGGTGGATGTCGTGGCGCGGCACGGCAAGCTTACGGGGCGGCTCGCCTGCGTACCCGCATGCTCTGCCATCTGCCAACCTGCCGGCCGCCTCCATGCCCGCAGGCGCGCACGAGCTCTGGTGGGATATGCGGAACCTGCAAAATTGACTGTGCCGTTCCCGCTGTAACAAGTGCCGCAAGGCTGGGGCAATACGGGGCGTCGGCGGCAGCGGGACATACTGCTGATAGGCTAGACGGGCCCCTTTCGTGAGTTTTGCCAGCATTTAGTGCCTACTACAAGCTCAGGCGAGGCTTGGCAGGCTCTCTGTTTCGCACCAGGCCCAATCTACTGACTACTGTTGCTGGCAGCGGCCTGGCTTAGCGGCGTGCGAGGGGGGGCCTGCTAGCAGCGCCAGCAGCAGCATGGGCCCTGCCCGCACGCCCCCCAAGCGGCCCAGGTTGCTCACCTCCCTGGGCGCCTGGGTGGTTGTGGCCAGCCTGCTGTGCCTGCACCGCGCCACCCGCGACGTCACCAAGTGCATGCCCGAGGCGGACGGGCTGCCGCATGGGGCGGGTGGCGGCGGTGCCGCCACCGCCGGCGCACCTCTGCCGCCGCCGCCAGGAGCCTGTCGCACGATGAAATCGAGTCGCTCATCCGCCAGCCTGCGACGCTGCATGGGGTGGTGCAGAAGGGCGGGCTGCCGGCCAACTACAGCTTCATGGTGGCGCACCTCACCGACACCAATCCTGATGTGCGGGAGGAAGGCATCCCCGCCACTATGGGCCCCGCACTCATGCGCTGGTTCGCCCACGCCTACACGTGAGCAAGCAGCAGGGCGGGCTGTGGGTACTTGCTAGGCTCCAGGTATACTGCAATCGATGTCTCGCAGTGCCTGGTGCCGCGACATGAGTGTGCCTTTGCTATCTTTGCTCCACGGAGCCCGTGGTGGGTGGCTGGTTTGGCTGTAGCCCATCCTTCAATGCCTCCGGCGCTGCTGCGCATCGATGGCCTGCAATGCTTGAAAGATGTAGTTGCTGCTGCTCCCGCCGCTGCCGCTGGCAGTTCCCTCCCTTGCCCGCTTTCCTGTCATATTGCCGCCATGCCTTCCGCCCTCCCCCCACCTTCCGCTGCAGCTTCAACCGCTCCATGGGCCACAGCAACTACCACCTGCAATCCCCCGTGCCGGCCTGCCACTTCTGGGCCGACCACCGGTACCGCATCCTGTATGTGCGCAATTTCAAGACGGCCGGCACATCCATCACCGTCACGCTCGGCCAGAAAGAGCTGCACATGTACTGCAAGTGAGCCACAGCAGCATATGCGCTGCGCAATTGGACCGGCAGGGAGATGCTGCACATGTCGCTCTGCTGGGTGTGCTTGCTGCTAAGGGCGAGCTTGCGGCTGCTGTGTTTGCCGACAGCGCAGCGAGCCAGGGCGTGGCCTTGAACCCGGCTGCTGCGATATGCCCCTCGCCGCAGGGCCAACCCTGCTAACTGTGCTGCCAAGTGCCGCAATAAGCAGGTGTGCCTGGAAAACATCATCGACCAGGCGGTGCTACGTAAGCTGTTTGCAGAGTACACAGGTGAGGCGGCGGCACATGTTTGGGGGAGTTGGGGTGCAACACACAGCGGGATGCTGCTGACTTGTGACGGCACGGTGTGGCAGCCCTCAACAAGCAGACACCCGCCATGACGTGCCTGCTGCAGCTGCTGTCTCTGCCTTCTTTTGTTGTAGTGTTGCCTGCCTGCCTGTGCCCCGTGGCCTGACCTCCCCTTTCCCCCACTGCCCACCCGTGTGCCTGCAGTCTTTTCTTTTGTGCGCAACCCCTGGGCCCGCGCGCTCTCCAGCTGGCACCACGTCCACAAGCATGGGCTGCACCCGCCCTGCCAGGACCCTTTCACCAAGTTTGCCCAGCTGCCATCCGCCTACGGCGCCAAGTGCCTGGGCGACCGCTCCTGCTGCAAGCGCCGCTTTGGCTGGCTGCTAGAGCACCTGGAGCCGCAGAGTACGTGCCTGTTTGACGACCGGGGGCGCCCCTCGGTGGACTTCCTGGGGCGTGTGGAGAACCTGGATGAAGACATGCAGGTGGGCGGCGCATGCAAAATCGTTTTGTCAGTTTGAGGGGACGAGCAATGCTGCCGCGGCCATCTGCCAGACCCCACGTGTGTTCATGGGCCCGCTGGTGGCCACAAGAGGCTCATGTTGTTGCATATTGATGTGTGTCTATGCTCCTCCCGGGCAGGAGCTAGTGAAGTTGGTCAATAGCAGGCTAGGGGAAGGGGTGGAGCCGCTGCGTGTAGGATCCCTGCCGCGCTGGCAGCTGGCGCTGCCAGACATGAAGGACAGGTGAGTGGGAGCGGAGGAAGGGCAGGGTGAAACAGCGGCGGGGAGCAGAGTTGTTTGCAGTGCCGGGCATGGACACGCGATAGGAGGCTCGACACAGGGCAAGGAAGGAAAACAGCCTCGTGCTGAAGCGCAAAAGCCCTCTGTCTGCTGCCTCCTTGTCCCTGCTTCTACTTGCAGGCAGGATGAACTTTGGCGATACTATGCAGAGCTGTACTACAACAGTACGACAGGTGCAGACCTGGTGGTGTCTGCTGCTGCTGCTGGCAACTGCTGGTACCAGCAGACATTGCAGCCGTGCCCTTCCACTCCCTGCGTGATGGTTGCCGTGCTTCTGCCGCCCTGCTGCAGCCCTGCAAGACATTCGCAGCTACTTCCACGCAGACTTTGACCTTCTCCAATTTCCTGGCAGAGACATGGTTGGAAGAGGGGGAGGAGGGGTGGCGGCGGAAGCAGCGGCTACCATCTCTGAGCTAGGTTGATGTTGTTTCTTTGCAAACTCCCTTCTTGAATGCGTTTCATTGCATGCCTGGTACACAGCAGGAGCAAAAGGAAGCACGCAGGAGCAAGCGACGCTGCACAGGCCTGATACACAGCAGGAGCAAAAGGAAGCATGCAGGAGCAGGCGACGCTGCACGGCTCTAGCAGGAAAGTGCCGGTCCTGGCTGCCCTGGGTGGTGGGCAGCCTGCCACCACTGCTGCACTGGCGGATCAGATGCACCTCAGATGCGCCTCCAGCCCGCTTCGCCGCGTGGGATCATGTCAGGGATCAGGCGCTTGAGCCTGTACCAGTTGACAGGGTCGACGCCCAGAGCAATCATAACACCAAGCTGCTGGCTTCGCTCAGGCATGCCCCACATGAAAGAGCGGATGTAAGTCGCGCGCTGCGCCAGCATGGGCAGCGCCTGGACCACCAATGGCAGGACCTGCGGCATTAAGGGAGGGAAGGCAGACGGGAATCTGAGGTGGGCAGAGATGAGAGATGGGTACGGGCAGAGATGAGCTGCGCCCCTCCGGCGGGCAGAGATGAGCTGCGCCCCTCCGGCGGGCAGAGATGAGCTGCGCCCCTCCGGCGGGCAGAGATGAGCTGCGCCCCTCCGGCGCACCATGAACCACTGCTCCGCGGGGCGAGCGTCCCAGCAGTCGTTGAGAATCTTCTTCTGAACTGGGCCCGGCACGTAGCGGCGCATAACAGGTCTGACATGATCCTCGACATACGTGTAGGAGTCGACGGCATAGGCGGCCAGGCGAGCCACGGCGGCCTGCGGCACAGCAAACGACATGGGATTGAGGAGGCACTGAGCAGCCAAATGCAGCGAAGGCCGCCACCGGTGTGCAGCGCCCACCGTTCCGGCCCCCTAAGGGCGGCTGACCACGGCAGCAACAGCAGTTCCAGCCCACCTGCAGCGCCCCGTAGTCGAGCGGCTTGCCACCGCTACTGTTTGTGCCACCGCTGCCGTCGCCAGCCCCGCCAAGCACCTTGTCGAACTCTCCGCTGGCGATGAGGGCCTTGGTGTCGTCACACCCGCCCAGCAGCTTGCCGGCCACCCACACGTAAGGCACAGTGCGCTGGCCGGTGGCCTTCTTCAGCTCCTCGTGCAGGGCAGCCCCAGACAGCATCTTATCGACTGCGGCCAGGGAGGGGCGGACAGATGGCACATGAACAGCAGGTGCACGAGCAGGTGAACAGGTGAGGAGCAGGCGGGTGCCCAGACCAAGGCAGGGCTTGTAGCTCGTACCCAGGAAGTAGGGGAAGGACAGGCCCATGTCAGCCAGCGTGCGAGACACTTCGATGCAAAAGGGGCAGGTGGAGCGGCCCACCACCACAACCCTGCAGGCGGGACAAGCAGCAAAGGCATCGAGATTGTGCATGCTGAAGCCAGGGTGTCCCATGTTCATCGTTCCTGTGCTTGCTACATGGTCACGCATTAGCCTCCCTCACTTGTTCTCCGACACAGCGGCGGCCAGCTTGTCAGCCAGTGTGACTCCGGCATAGCTGTCGATGTCGGCGCTGGAGTCAGCGCCACCCGTCGCCATCTTCGCCACAGCCCCACCAGACAGGCCTGCACCGCAGCGCTCAGAACCGGTGTGAAAGCCGCAGCAGGAGCAGGCAGGCTGCCTGCAAGGAGCTGTGCGCTCAGTTTCTACCTGCCAGCTGCACCGCCACTTCCTGCTCCAGCCTGAGCATCTCCTCGTTTTGGGCCATAGCCTTGGCGTGGTGGCCAGGGAAGAACGCAGAAATTTGAGGGAAGCATATCTCGTTCTTCAGGCCAGTGTAGAAGTCGTTAATGGTCGTAAACCTCCTCCACTCCTCCGACAGGCGGGCAGCGATGCGGGTGTTGCCTGGATCCGCAGCCAGTGCCGACGCCTTCGCATTGGCAGTGGGGTGGGACGCCCCAGAATAACGGGCAGGCAAGTTTGGCCAGTGACTGGAAGAATTGGGCAGGACACATACAGCGGGCAACTGCGGCAGGCGCGCACCGAGTCTGTGAGCTGTGCGAGCAGATGGCGCAGGGCCTCTTGGGCCAGGGGCAGGTGGCTCATGGGGCCCCACTGCAGACACGGGTGGTTTGCCAGGGCGGTGACTCGCAAAGGCCACCATGACCCCCTCTCCCTCCCCCTTTCCCTCTCCCAGCCTTCCCCTCCATTCACCTTGTGCTCTGGAATAAATACTCTGAGGCGCAGGATGCCGGCCAGGGTGCGCAGGGTCAGGACAGAGCACATGATGCAGGCCAGGGCGATGAGGCAGATGGCCAGCACCTTGCTGCAAGGGCAGGAGTGGGCAGGGCTGAACGCGGAAGAGAGTGCGGGCGGCAAGGGAACAGCCAGTCAGCAGAACCGGCGTGTGCCTAGCAACTTGCACCGCCCACCTCAGGGCAGTGTCAATCGTCATGTCATACAGCACTCCAGCCCACGCCAGGGCAGCGGTGGGGAAGCCAAATGCCCACATCTGCAGGCACTGACGGGAAACTCTGATGTATTCGAGGCAATGTATTCACTTCCTGGCTGCCCCACCAGTACCACGAAGATGCCAGGACATGGGCATCTCTCTTTGGACGTGCAGAAGCGAAGGGGCAAAGTAGCGAGGGCAGCCCAGCACCGAACTGGCCTGCATGAAAAAGCTGTCAGCCCACAGAAAATGCTTCAGAGCCATCCACACCAGCACCAACCCCATGCCGATTGCCATGTAGAAGAGAGTTTGAGCTGCGACGCAGACAGGCAGCAAGTTCTGTGGATCATAGGTGGGCATGACGCGGCAGTGCACCAAACATCGCGCGATGTTGCCGCATTCAGCATTGCCAACGCCACTGCGACAAGCGATGAGCCCCCGGCGTTCCTGTACCTCACCCGTGTTACCCATGCCTTCCTGCATCAGATAGCCCATCATGGCCAGGTACAGGTCCTCCCGAGAGGAGCCGCTGGGAGCCGCCTGCACGCATGCAAGGTTGCAGGTTCAGGCAGGTTAGGATGTAAGGCATGTGTGGCATGTGTCTGTGTGAGCATGGGTGTCAATCGAGGCAGGGCGGCATTGCATGCAACCCAAGGTGAGGTCATAGACCAACCTGGCAGGCATAGCGCGCAGCCTCGAGCAGGGTCCAGGCGATGGAGGCAACCGCCGGCGCCGCAATCCAGATGGCGGCAAACATGCGGCTCCGTGGATCGACATTGTGTCCCAGTACCGTACGCGTAAAAGTGAAAATAAACAGCGTGACCCACCTGCAAACAGCATACTAGCACCCACAACGTGGTGAGGCAAATGCCGGCCCAGCTGCAGGTCAGTCCGCATGGCGCACTCACATCAACAGCGCGAACCCGAACCACAACATGCAGGCCTGTGGGCGCAGGAGCAATAGAACAGCGCAGTTCTCAAGGTGTCGATCCAACAGCGCAGGGAGGGGCATGTTGTAAGCGCAGCTGGCCCATGCATGCCTCCCAGCGCGCCCGTGCCTCTGCTGACCTCCGCGTAGCTGGGGTCGAGGATCGGTCCTACCACCGCGACTACAAAGTTGCCAACAGGCGCCCTGCAGAGTTATTCAGATATCTGATACATGTGCAGCCGTGGGCAGCAGGAGATCAAGCACTGGCCAGGCGAAGCATCCACACATGGTCAGCCTGACGGTTTCAACGCACATCTGATAGGCGCCGTTGACCAGGCCCTCATGCTTCATTTGAGACAGCCAGTTCCCCACAATGATAACTGCAGGCAGTGCACAAACAGGTCAACAGGAATGACTAGGCAGGGGGTGCTCTGCTCGAGCAGGGATACGCATGCCTTGCCAGGTGGTTGCTGTTTTCTGACCGCCATCCCTGTCGGCTGGCCCCTTGCCTGAGAAGAGCATCATCAAGCTGGCGCCCGCCCAGAAGAGGATCTTGGCAAACGTATTGGAATACTGGTCGGCTAAGAAGGAGTAAACCTGGGCAATAACAAGTATGTAGTGTTTTCCCCGACAGTTTTGTTTGTTTTTCAACTGTGTTGTTCAGGTCCAAGCGGGTGCAACAGGCACAGCAGGGGAACGCACCACCAGGGTCATCCAGGGCACCGAGAAGGCATTATGCATCATTGGGTGCTGCCATTCGGAGGCGATCTGCGACAACAGGCCAGGGCACAGCCGCGAGTTGGCAAGGAGCACCCCTGTTCAGCCCAGGGGTGCATCTCCCAGCTCTTTGCACCCCTGCAGAGACCAGCCAGATACTCACCTTGTGCGGATACAGGATGCATTTAAGGATGTATGGCACGGTGAACAGGGCGGTCCAGACCAGCGACAGCAGCGCCAGTATTTTCCATACGTTCTCCGGGGTGCCCATGGTGGGGATGAGCGAGCAGAACCTGCAGCCAATCGTGGTGCGACTCGGGTCCGAGCGCCGGCTGTCACAATCCCCATGCATGACTGAGGTGCCAGAAGTCGCTGCTCACCTGAAGAGAGCGGCCACAGCCACCGGGCCAATCACGGCGCTCATGAAGCTCATTTTGGAGTACTTGACATAATCGAACGTTTCACGCTCCCAGTCATCCGTCTTGCCTGTCTGCAATACAGGTGCACCATTGAGATAACGTCAGCAGGTCATGCGCCCTGCCTGCCTCCACGTCACAAGCAGTTGGGCGGCCACGGTGAGCCCAGCAGCTCCCTGCTAAGCCCCAAAGTGCAGGAGCCACAGCTCGGACCTTGTAGTGCAAGTCGATGCGAGGTTTGAAAGAAACGGTGTTGAGCCTGCTGTGCCAGAGTGCATTCATTCATTCATTCATTCAGCACACAGCCCGGCCGCCTCTTGCTCGAGGGCGGCCCACTTTGGCCTGGGCCGCCCGGGCCGCCCTCCCCCCCGGGCGCATGTTCGGTGTTGGAGGGGTGTGCCCAGCGATAGGGGGCCCCTGAAGGCATGCGCCGAGGCCGGGAAGCGTGGTTCGGCGCTGCTGCACGCTTGGCGATTTGACCAGAACCACGTGCCGCCGAGCTGCGGCCGCAGTTTCCGGCCCACGGTCTACGGTCGCAGCCACGGGACTCGGCGGCACGGCGTTTGGGCCCAAGCTTGCTGCCGCCGCGCTGCCCCCCGGGCACGGCGGCGGCGGCGGCACGCTGCGACGCCCCCGTGCTGCCGAGCTGCGGCCGTAGTTTCCTGCCAGAAGCCCACGGCCACAGCCACGGGACTCGGCGGCACGGAGTTTCGGTCCACGGCTTGCTGCCGCCGCCGTCGCAGGGGTGCTGCCTGCGGCGGCGGCGGCACGGCGTTTGGGTCCACGGCTTGCTGCCGCTGCCGCCGCCGCAGGGGTGCTGCCTGCGGCGGCGGCGGTAGCGCACGTGGCAACCCCCCGCGTTTCCTTGCCTCCCATCCACCGGACCCCGTCCTGCGCTTCACTTTGTTTAGGGAGGGGCTGCTCACTGCTCATTGCTCATTGCTCATCGCACACTGCTCAACGCTCATTGCCCTATATCCCACCCAGCCGCAGGACTCCACTGCCGCCCGCGCCCCGCCCCATCTGGCCGCTTGCGCGCCCCATCCCCCCTCGATGGGGCCCGCCCACACCGGGGCCTCCCCCCTCCCGCCCACTGCTTTCTCAACGGCCCCGAGCCGGGGCTGCCCTCATTGCATACATAGTGCGCCTTTCCCTGCTTTTCTAGTGACCTAGCGTTCCGCACTGCCGTTTGGCCAGCCCATGCTCCCGTACCGTTGCGTTTCTCCCCAATGCGCCATGCCACTTTGCCAGTCATACACACGTTTCGATGCGTGCCCTGTCAGCTGCTTGCGTTGCATGTCGCCTTGCTCCACCCCTGTTTTATTGCTTTCTCTGCTTTCGCCCGGTTCCCGTCCCGTTTCGGCGGGGAGTCTATGTTGCAAGCTAGTTCTTGCTTTACCAGACTTTAAGCCCACACAAGCAAGCATGCAGGTGGGCTTGCTGCCGGGGCGCAGCTCAGGAGAGAAGCGCTCTTCATAACTCTGCGCGGGCGGCGGGTGCACGCGCTTGGTCCACTCCTCCCATGCAAGCCTGCAAGCACGAGGTGGTTGAGGTGGCAGGGTCCCTGAGTCCCTAGTCCCAACTCTTTTGGTTCCTGAAACACCCATACACGTATTCACTTTGTCTCTGGAAGCGTGTTGATGTGGATTAGGTATATTGTGTCTGAAATGAATCGCCACTTGATGGCGAGGCCAAAGAACCAGCAGCCAGCGCTGCACAACGGACAAGGGAGACTGGTAAGGGTCAGACACAGAAACTGCAATGCGTGCTACTGGCAACTGACCAGAAGTTGAGGAAGGCCTCCAGGCCGGCGAAGAAAGTCAGTATGGAGGCAACAACTGTGGCGGCCTGCAGGGTTGGCACACAGCAGCAATCGGGATGCGCACTTCACGCAGCTGGGTGATGCATGATGCGGCACACTGCCGCACCTGCCAGGCGTGGAAGAACTGCAAAACCACGATCCCGGCCGAAAAAACAACCCCAACAGAGACAGCAAACTGCTTGGGCGGGCCTGCACAGACACAAATGACAGGAGCTGTTACAGCAGCAGGGCGCCTCAGACACGGGCATACAATTTAAATCGGCACACGGCTCCTCTGCCAATTCAGCGCACCTGCTCCCCACACCGGACCCGTCTTCCTGCCCAGCCATGGCAGCACCAAGTCAATGGCGGCGGCCACCATCATGGCGACCGATCCCAGCGGCGAGATGCCCGCGCCGCCCTGCAGGGCAATCGGCAGGAAGCCTGGTCGCACCTGGTGCAACAGACAGGAGATGTTGGACACAGCCACAACCAAGCAGGCGGCGGCCTGACCGGCCCACCAGCCAGGCACAGGATGGGTGCAGAGAGACATGCATTGACGCTGCTCCTGGAACTCACATAGAAGCGCAGACAGAAGTCCACCAGCAAGCCCACAGCAACCCAGTGCCAGCTCTGCTTCTTCTTGTAAGCGAAAATGGCCAGGAGCAGGCTGATTACAAACACCTGCCGCGCGGGTGCAGAACGATGTAAAGGCTACCTTGCAAGCCATGTTCCCACTGCGGGTGCCCGGCGAACGCCACAACTGCCCTCACCTGCGCACCGACCAGCCGAATGATGCGGTTGTCAACTGTATTAGGGAACTGAAACAGTGCCCCTGCGACAGAAGGGAGTATCAGAGGCGTGAACTTGAATGCAGGGGGGCGAAACTCGATGCAGCGCTGCAATGCAGGAACGGCGGCAGGGTTGGACAAGAAGGCGGGGCCTGCCAAAGGAAGGCTGGCCTGCTGCCCAGGCTCACCGATGACGTGGGGCGCATCCCGATCTACTCCTGCCACCTTCAGGCGCGGCGCCCCCTCTTCCGCCAGGGCCGCCTTGTCTCCTGCGCCACCTGCAGCAGGCACCAAAACCAACGGTAGCGCAGGCACCTAAGTATCAATTTGTGGGCCCACACCCCCCTCGGTTCCCCCAATCAGCAGCAGCGTGGGAGGAGTTTGACAGCTGCCCCCCCCCACCCCCCCACCCCCCTCACCGCCGATCAGCTTGTCAAACTCCCCGCTGGCGATGAGGGCCTTGGTGTCGTCACACCCGCCCAGCAGCTTGCCGGCCACCCACACGTAAGGCACAGTGCGCTGGCCGGTGGCCTTCTTCAGCTCTTCTTGCAGCTGCAGGATTGGAAGCCGAGAGGCTGTAAGTGTCATGAAGAGCAGGCTCTTTGAGGACAGACTGGCCTGTCTTCAACCACGATGAGATTTCCTCGCTGTGCGCTGCGTACCTCTGCACCGCTGGTCAGCTGGTCCAAGCGGTAGTAGATGAAAGGAACGCCCATCTCCACCATCGTGCGGGACACCTCGATGCAAAACGGGCAGGTGGACCGGCCAAACACGACAACCCTGCAAGGGGTCTTTCTCGTGGGAGCGTGTGTGAGCAGGTTCTTCTTGCACAAGAGCCCCAAGCATATCGTGTCCCCCGCCCAGCTGGCGGCGCCCCTGGCGGCGCCGCTCACGGCGCTCCTGGCGAATCGGACGTCTTGGAAGCCAGTTGCACGACACGGACACGGACACTTTCCCGCGCCCCTGGTCCTCACCTATTAGCAGCCAAGCAGTGCTGCAGCTTTTCCGCCAGCGTTGCCCCAGGAAGGGACGCGAACTCGTCCTGGCCAGGGTCCACATCTATGGCGACGCTCCCACTCTTGCCGTTTGTGGCCTCCATCTTACGCCGTCGGCAGCAGCGGTTTGGGTTTTGCGTCGATGGCGACCTTCTGCAGCGTGCACACGCGTAAAGTGTGTACGTCTCTACAGTGTCTGTTCGTTTCGCTTTCGTCTCGATGTAGGAATAGCGGAGTTACGCAGCGGGTTTTGCGATGTGTGTAGAGATATCACGTCATGTCGCCTAGCTGGCGCCAGGTGGAGGAACAGACAGGGCCTGTCACAAGCGCTAGCATTTTATAACAAGAAAGCCCAAGGCTGTACTCAGTATTTTACGACAGGTTGGGACCAACCAACAAGCAAGTCTGAAAGAAGGTGGGCGATCAAAACACCAGCAGTGGGGACAGAGAACACCGGAGCCAACCTCGGACGAAAGTGCAAGGGCGCAGCCAAAACAGCAGTTGAGGCCTCTATCGACCAGTGTCGCGAATCAGCTGCAGCCCGGGAAGAGGTAAGACACTGCGCCCCCCGCCGGACGGGGGGGGCAAGGGGCGGGCGAGCGGGCAAAGGCGGCGGGACGTCATGGCCCAGGGATGCTCCGGTATCGCCACCTACCTTGGCCTTAAATTTACTTGCATGCATCAGGAGCATACTTCAAAAGTTCCAACTTTTGCAAAATGGGGGTTGGGGGAAGGCGTCGGCGGCAGCCCGCCTGCACAGCGCTGCACAGCGCTGGGCTAGCCCAGCCGAGATCACAGGCGTGCCGCACCCGCCTCGTGCCAGTCGTACCGCGAGTTCTTCACAAACCCCGCCCGCGCCAGCAGCTCGTCGGCCTCGGGAGGGCCCCTGTAGAGGCAGCGGGCGGCCACAAGCAGCAGACCTGTCAACAGCGAACACCAGCAAGCGGGAGCAAGGCGGCGGCCTGTGCTGGGCACGGGCAGCTGTCATCCCGTGTGACAAATGCAGGCCACTCACCTGCTACCGTAGGGATAGGGGTGCACAGGCAGCGCCCCCGCGTCTATCAGGTGCAAAATCGGAGTACATATCGCCCACGCCGCGCGCAGCTCATCCCTGCACAACAACCACCAAGCCCACAGAGAGTCCCATGAGTCGACATTTGCCGTTCTGCCGCGCCGCCAGCAGCCGCCGGGCACTGCTTCAGCCAAGCAGCGTGATTTCAGTAATGCTGCTGCAGCCGCAGGCCAGTGCCACTATGGGTACAGGAGGTGTGTGCGAGTGGGGGGTGGTTGCGGTTGCCACACTTGCACGCAGCCCCCACCCTGGGCACCTCTGGGCGGGGCAGCATGTGGCAGCAATGCAACAGCAGCAGGTGGCTGAGCGTGCTCTGGAGCTGAAGCACTGCCACGTCTTCTGGTGCAGGAAATCTCCTTCACCCTCCACATGGGGCGCAGCACACACGCCCCCGCCGAGCCCGCCGAGCCCCTGGCTCCCCACAACTGCCAAGCTCTACCACTGCGCCCACATCTCTATCACTGTGCCCACAACTGCCACAGTAAACTGTACCTAAATCAGCATGCATGATGCTACCGCACAGCCAATGAAGCTGTCCTCCGCTGGCTGAGCACTGCCTCGTGGACAGCAGCAGCATCAGGCCAGGCAAAGTGATTTTTCAATACAAGTTTGCCATTTAGGCCTATGAACATTGTGCTTTGAAGGGCACACGTTGTAGGAGGCCATTAACTTATTGAGAAAGAGACTCGAGGGAAGGAAAGGGCTGCCTGGCGTGGGAATGGGCTGAACGGGAAGTAATGGAAAAGGATCCATTCCTGGTACCAGTTATGGGCCATTAGGCACTAATGGCCCCCAAACCATTACTGGGCCTCTAATGGGTTGCGAGTTATGTACCCCACGTATGGGCCATGACTTGCCCATTACAAGCAGTAATGGCCATTACTAGCCCCCACACCTCCTCACTGCCCCTCCCCCGTTAGCCAAGTAATGGTTTTTTCTGCTAAATTTACCCCCCCCCCCGAATTCATAGGCTTGGGGCGCACCTGCGCACAAAGTGCTGCTGGTCGCCGCGGATGGAGTCGAGGATGAGGCGGGGGTAGGCGTCGGGGATCACCACCCCCGGGTAGCGCTGCCTGTAGTCGAGGTCCAGCTCGCTGATGGCGGTGTCAATCTCCAGCCCTGCGCGAGCGAGGCAGGTGGCAGTCAGGGCGTGGGTGTGGCGGGGCGGGGGTGAGCATGCACGTTGTGCAGGCGCCAGTGGGCAGGTGGCGGCGGGGAGCAGCCAGCGCGCATCTCGTACATGGCTGCTGGTTCGCACACCACAGCTGCCGCTACTGACCTGGCTTCTTGACAATGAGTTTCAAATAAATAGCCTCATCTGGTTGCAGTCGCACTACCAGCTGCAAACAAAGCAAAAAGCATTGCCCAATTGGGGGCAGCAAGCATCGCAATCCCCTTGCTTTCGACACCGGCCAACCAACCACTCCCTGGCCCCAGCCCACCTCGTTGCGCATGGCCTCCGGCTCGCCATTAAAGACAAAGTGCGGCGTGGAGCGCAGCTGCACCCGGATCTCCGCCTTGCGCTCATTCAGTGCTTTGCCCGCCTTCAGCACAAATGGCACCCCTGCCCACCTGTGGCATTCAGGGTGGAGCAAGCCCAAGATGAACCAGTTAAACAGCGCAGAAGCAGTTGGCTGGCAAATGGCGATGAGGCAGGTCCAGAGAGAAAAAATGGGCTCTTCATGCCATCCCTGCCGTTTCCACAGAAGCGCGCGCATGTCGCACCCCACCCACCCTCAAGCCCACCTGTCGTTGTCAATGAACACAGTGACAGAAGCAAACGTGGGCGTCTTGCTGCCGGCAGGCACCGTGGGGTCGTCTGCTTGCAAACAAAGCATGGATGGCATGGTGGCGCCATCAGGGTAGCTGCACAGGCTGGCTGGTGCCTGCCCCTCGAGCAGCCATGCCTCCGCATCGCCTACCTGTGTACCCTGGCTGTGCGTCTGCTGCCGTGTACTGCCCTAACACCACATTGTGCGGCTGAACCGGCTTGATGCACCGCAGCACCTTGACCTGCGGCAAATTGTGTTGGCTGCGTGTGAGAGGGCGGACAAGTTTGGCCAGCTCAGGAAAGCCACCACTGCTCCCTAACTCCCACCTTTTCGTCGCGCAAGTCATCAGGGTGGATGCTGAGCGGCTTCTCCATGGCGAGCATGGCCAGCAGCTGGATTAGATGGTTCTGGAGGCAGGGCAGAACGGGGCAAGGGACACAGCCGTGCAGAAGCTGGTGACAAGCATCATAGTGGCAACCCCGGCAACACTCAGCCAGCCAAAGCAACACCTGGATAACGTCTCGCACAATCCCAAAGCTGTCAAAGTAGCCGCCCCGCCCCTGCGTCCCAAAATCCTCCTGTACAAACAGGCGGCCATCAAAGCGGCGTCAGAACCATCACCGGCATGTGTGCTCAGGTAGGCAGGAGCAGAGGGCAGGCAGGAGGAGCAGCAACCACCGGTGCGCAGCAGCGGCAGGCAGCTACCTTGAAAGTGATCTGCACGTTGGATATGCAATTGCGATTCCAGAGAGGGGCGGTGAACATGTTGGCAAATCGAATCACGAACAGATTCTGAACCATCTCCTTTCCCAGGTAGTGGTCGATTCTGTACAGCTGGCTCTCGGGATACAGCTTGCCCAGCTCCTCAGCCAGCTCCTCGCTGCTCTGCAGGTCCAGACCAAACGGCTTCTCCACAACCACCCGGATCCATGAACCCTCCACGCTCGGCAGGCCATCGCAGTATGTCTGTTTTGGGGTGGGGCGGGTGGGGGGGCCAGCGGGTGGGTAGGTGGCCGGCAGGCAGTTGGCAGAGCGACGGCTGGGTCCCTGAGCACAATGAGCTGCTGGAATCTGCCCGTACATGCCCCATCCTCGACAAGACGAGCACCTTAAGGCCAGTGCAAACTTGGGGATAGACAGACGGCGGTAGGGCCAGGTAGTACAGCCGTCCGCACGGGCAGCCGCGGTGCTTCGCCTCCCGAGCCTCCAGCACCGCCGCCAGCTTCTGCCAGCCTTCACTGCCATCATAGGACCCTGCCATCGGCGGCAGGCGGATAGGAGGCGCAAGATCAGGTGGGTGGCATGGGGAGGGTGCGCTGTGCAGCAGCCTGGCAGCAATCGAGCCCACATCGGACCTGCGGGTACAGTGCACTCGCGGGCAGCCACACACCTGATACGTAAGTGCAGCCCTCCAGGAACTTGTCTACCTCCTTCTCGCTGCCCTTCAGCCGCGGTCGCAGCTTGGTGCGCAGCTGCTCATCGCTCATTTGAGTGCGTGCATAGCCGATAATGGCCACTTTGCGCGGCAAGAAGCTGCTCAAAAAAGGGAGAGTTTGAGATTTAAAGGCACGGGCGTGAAAGCGCATACACTGAGTGAATGCGTAAAATACCGTGAACGCATTCAACACTGTGTACTGTTGCCTCACCCATTGTGGTGAAGAAACTGCAAGGCGGGGTAGGTCTTCTTGCTAGCCAAGTCTCCCGAAGCACCTGAAACATGAACGGAAACATGAAAACGTGAACGCAGTCACAGCGCGCTCTCGTCAGCTGCGGAGAATGGGTAGGTGGCGGCAGCGGCAGGTGGGCGGCGGCAGCGGCAGGTGGCGGCGCCAGTGCCAGCCTGCAAGCCAGCTCCGCCGATCATGCTAGCCCCGACCCGCGAGCCGCCTGGCCCGTGCAGATCGCTGAGAGGGCACCAGCTGCGAAAACCCTGCGCCCTGTTCTTGCGGCTGTTCAAGCTTCCAGCGCGTCTTACCCGCCACCACGATGGTGAGGCACAGGTCTCGCTCAAAGCCGCAGTGCCAGCAGTCACGGGTGGAGGGGAAGGATGGCTCAGACTCCAGCAATTGGGAGGCCTTCCTGTCGTCGGTGAGAACAGCCATCCTGCTCGAAATTCACAGCTTGCATGCGTATTCTGGGCGGGCAAGCTGCTTCGTGCACTTAGGATCACATCATCACCCGCCGCCTTGATGGCGCGCTTTGCGGCGGGGCGCTGGTAGCCAACCAACCCCACTGATCGCCAAAGAAGCAAGAGCAATGCAGTGGAGGAACATTTGCAACAAGCGCCACAACTTGAACGAAGCGTGGTTTCATTGTTTCTTCATTGTTTCACGCCACCGCCACCGCTTGGTTGGAGGAAAGCCACAACTTTGCTCTTGAACCTTGACGACCTTTGTAAACCCCTAGATGGCCGCAATGGGCGCCTCGATGGTTTAAACAGCCTCTGTGGTGCAATGGCGAGCCCGACGCACATCATTGCTCCGAGTTGCTCATGTACGCGGTTCGCGGGCACACAGGAGCTGCGTAACGCATACGGCCTGCGCTGCGCCTGCGCTGCGCCTGCGCTTCTGCGAACCCACCAAGGCAGCCCGCTACACGCTGCCGCCGCCGCCGCCGTCGAGCGCCTGCCAGTGGTTGTGGCCCACGGCGACGCTCCCCTGCCGGTCGATGCTTGCGGCAGCACCCCGCTGCACTCAGCGGCCGCACAGGGGGACCCTGAGGCGGTGCATCTCCTGCTGCGCTCCTGTGGCGAGCGCGCCGCAGCAGAATGCAGCGCACTCAACTGGTGTGGCATGACGCCCATCCACAGCCTGGCGGCCAACCCAGGCCCTGGCTCCTGTGCCGCGCTGTCGGTGATGATGCACTTTGGAGCCAGCCTGCACGATCGCACCAAACCCTTTGGAGACAATGATGATGATGACATGGGGAGCTTCTCTGGCGAGACCGCGCTGAGCCTGGCAGCTCAGCACTCTGGCGACCACCAGGCAGGACTGCTGGTGGCACTCCTGCTCCAGGCTGGCCTGGACCCACTTGACCCGGCCGGACCCATGCACACCACCCCACTGGAGTTTGCGAGTGCTGCTGGCGGTGAGCCTGGGACAGCTGGCTCGACTGGATGTGAGGCTAACCGCAACACGGTAGCAGGCAGCACCTGCAAGCTGCCGTGGCTGGCAAGCCGTGCCCGCTGGCCTCCCCACGCGTCTGCCACACATGCCGACCTGCTTTGCCGACAGTGGCACGTGAGCCGCTGCCTGCAGACGTGGAGGTCGTCAAACTGATGCTTTGCTATGCAGACACGTCCAACAGATACTGCGAGTCACCGCAAGGTGCGCTGCCGCTTGTTTCATCAATGGACAGGAAGGCAGCCGAGATGGTGTGGAGCACAGCCTATTGTCTAGGCCAGATGGGCCTCGGCTTAAGGTTGCCACCCTCTTCTTTGCTGCACCTGCTGGACGATCACAACGATAACTGTTTCCCACTCTTTGCGTCTCTCACTTTCTCCAACAGGTTGTGACGAAGTACCTGTCGACGAAGTACCTTTCAACCCTGCCTACCTGCTCTCCCTGGCAGTGGCACACCGCTGCCATGATGTGGCAGAGTTCTTGCTCGAACCGCCCCCCTCCTTCCATGCCCTGCTCACCGGCCAGCTGCTTCCAGACTCCATCTCAGTGCTAGAGGGGCCAGGTGGGAGCAGCTGCAGTAGGATACCCAGCGAGGACCATGGTGATACTGCAACTTCAGCAGGCATGCCCACCCATCAGGTTAGGTTTGGGATGTCAGGGTTGATGAAGGACGCGTGGTACGCGTGGTACACTTGCCACAGTGTCCAATGGCTACGGTTTCTGCTGATGGCATTCACTGTGGTGCCTTTCGGGCTACCCATCCTGCTGATGCAGTCCTACGTGGATGTGGACCAGCCCTTCCTGCAGCGCTTTCAGCTGGATGCCTGCCTGCACCGGGCCATTGCCAACGGCGACCTCGAGATGTGCCGCTTGCTTGTGGCGGGAGGCGCATGCGGCTCGCACTGGCGCTGCGACTGCGCCACTCTCTCCGATTGGAACGAGACCTTGGAGCGTCTAGGCTGGGAAAGCAGGTGCTACCTGATATGGGGCTGGAGCTGGCCCATCAGGATTGAAGTTAGGATGGGCATGGGAAGCAAGCCATGCCGAGCAAGTCAGCCAGAAGCATTGCACTGCTGCTACTGCGGCTAACTGCTCTTGTTCCGGCATCGTGGCAGCGCAGATTCCCCGAGCTGCACGATGCAGAGGAGCCGGATTATGACGAGACGCCGCTTACCCTGGCGCTCAGACTGCACGAGTTTGACACTGCCGCGGTGGGCTGCACGCGCTAGTGCCTCCATGTTCTCAGGCACATTCATCCAAGCGCTGCTGTCATCTCAGCTTGATGGACGCTTGCAGGCTACTCACATTGTTAACCGATTAGCCCACCGCAGTGGCTCATCAAGCGCACAGCGGCCGCCTATCCGCAACTGGATGGCAAGGACCGGACTGCACTGCACTGGGCCGCGCGGGCAGCCAAGCCCAAGCTGCTCCGGTGGCTGCTAGAGACGGGGCTGTGCAGGTGAGTGAGAGAGCCTTCCAGCAGCCTGTTCCTGCTGCTCGAGCCCTGATTGGCATTCCCTGACATGAATGATGGGAAAGGAGCGTCAAGCATGCCATTTCCACCACAGCTGATTCGCAGCAGGGAAAAGAAGAGCTGTGGAGGGCTGCCTGATGCCTTTGTTGTGTCTGTGCTCCTTGTGATGTGCAGCATGCAGGGCGAGGGTCACGAACGCATCATCAACCGCCAGGACAGAAGGCACCACAGCGCCCTGGCGTACGCCATCGCGGCGGGGTAAGCTGGAGCCTGGATGTTGCTGATAACCGGCCCGTGGCAGCACCAGCGCTGTATGATGCATGCATGCAACATTTTCAAGCAGGCGCAGATCTTTTTGCAGTTATTCCCGTTGCGCGCAGGGACCCAGCCTCGGTAGAGCTGCTGTGCAGGCACGGTGCTAGCATGCGCCGCCGTGTGATGACAAAGGCGTGGTTCGGCGCTGCTGCACGCTTGGCGATTTGACCAGAACCACGTGCCGCCGAGCTGCGGCCGCAGTTTCCGGCCCACGGTCTACGGTCGCAGCCACGGGACTCGGCGGCACGGCGTTTGGGCCCAAGCTTGCTGCCGCCGCCGCCGTGCCCGGGGGGCAGCGCGGCGGCGGCGGCGGCACGCTGCGACGCCCCCGTGCTGCCGAGCTGCGGCCGTAGTTTCCTGCCAGAAGCCCACGGCCACAGCCACGGGACTCGGCGGCACGGAGTTTCGGTCCACGGCTTGCTGCCGCCGCCGTCGCAGGGGTGCTGCCTGCGGCGGCGGCGGCACGGCGTTTGGGTCCACGGCTTGCTGCCGCTGCCGCCGCCGCAGGGTGCTGCCTGCGGCGGCGGCGGTAGCGCACGTGGCAACCCCCCGCGTTTCCTTGCCTCCCATCCACCGGACCCCGTCCTGCGCTTCACTTTGTTTAGGGAGGGGCTGCTCACTGCTCATTGCTCATTGCT